CATAAAGCTGTGTCTATATATCGCACTCACAATTGCTAAATGCCATTTAAAGACTTTATTACACCTGATGTTATTCAAAATTTTGAATTTTGAATTTTTTCCGAAATTTTCAAACGCACAGACGATAAAGGTGAACTAATCCCAACATAATAACATATTTATAATTTGATCACCGTTAGATTTATGTATTATACCTACATCCTCCTCATCAAGAAAGCTTGATGGATGATTCCTAAGAAAACTGCCTTCAGTCTTGTGATCCTTGTTCGGTGAATCATAGATTAAATCGTTAACTAGATTTTCAGGTGGCCAGCAAAAAGTTCAGGCTTATTGTCACAATAATGTTGAATATAAGAATGCTGAGGTTTGAAAAAAAATCATAAATTTAAGATAGTGTGTCCTTATTGGAAATGAAAGTATCTTCTTGAAATGGGAAGTCATGATTGAATGTGATGAGTAATATCGAAATATCACTCCTTCTATGTTTTATATAATATTATTCTTATTCTTCGATTTACGTTGTAAAGCCTAAATTAATCCTCCTAATTTTTAACAGGTCATTATCTTATAATACATTAGCATCGGGTATGTATTCAATGCTTTGTCACGTGAAATGATTACACTTCTGTATTGTGAAATAATCCGTAGGTATAATTAACACATGTCAGTCACATACATGTTTTGAAATTATAGGTGTTAAAACTTACGAAAACCGTTCTGTCCGATTATTGATATATTTGATCACGTTACGTCAATTATGATATCAGATCGTACGTTCGTTATTTAATATATTCTTAATATAAACCCAGACCGCATTTCAAGTCCATGGTCATATCATATATTAAAAGAGGAAAAAGTGAAAAAAAAAATAATTCAGTAAAATCTTCGAACTCAATCTCTGTAAGCCAACATGTTAGGGAACAATCTTAGGCCTTAACGGAAAAAAAAATTTTATCGTTCAAGGGAGATAATATTTCAAGACAGATGCGGACTCACTCCACAACATTTTATGCAAGTCTAAGCTATTTTTCGAAATATTCTTTCTCTTTCCCTTTTGGGGTTTTTGAATGCCTGTTTTTGATTTCGGGTCTAGATTTGGAATTTGATGTCTGAAATTGCATTTGGTGAGATGAGTCGTTTTGTGAACTGCCAAACTCAAACCGGTAGTAGTCTACTTTCAATTTCAGTAGCTCAAAGTTTTCAAGGTCAACATGTATTGATTTTCAGTGGACATGAAGGGTTGGTCAGGCTTTCATTCGACATATTGGAAAGCTTTCAACGAGATTTCTGGAATACGTTGTAGAAGGTTGAATTTCGTTTTTTAACATGGGAATAGATGGCAAATGAATTAGTGGAGTGAGTCCATGCATTAGATGGACTCAGACCACTTAAACTTTTTATGCTAATCATTGTGTCCGTGCTATTTTTAGAAATCCACTTTCTGCCTCTCTTTTGGGGTTTTTACATGTCCATGTTTTGAGTTATTTTTTGCCTAAATTTGGAATTTGATGTCTCAAATTGCATTTACTTTCAGGTTTTGTGAGATGATGAGAGATTTATAGGCGGAAGGATAATTCTATAAATAGTGGTTTTGTGGATTTCTGGAAAAAGTTATAGAAGGTTGAATTTGGTGTTTTAACATGGGAAGAGATGGCAAATGGATTATCTGAGTTCAGATTGGATACTGAACTTTTCATGATTCCACACTGCCATAAACTGCACAATCGAAATAAAGTTTACATAATATAAGCGTATCGCCATCTTAAACAAAACAGTAAGGTGATTTCAGTTGATCGGAAGATGTAAGGAAATTCTCATGTGAGACAGGTACTTATAATGAATAATTCAAAATGATTGCAGCCACCAAGTTTCAAAACTCAATAGTCATTGCAAAGTTAAGGAACCAACTTGCAACTTGCAGCGTTCTTTTCTTTGTTCTAAGAATGTAATTAATGTTTTTTTTTATTTGCAAATATCAATGAAGTACAATTAGTCGGGGGCACGAAGGAGCCATCATCGCAAGCAAAAATCATTCGTGCATTTTTCCATAAAGAAATTCACTTAGCTGACAGCTTTTGCAAACTAAAATTGTGACTAAATTACCAAACCCGTTTGATTCTTACCTCAATTTACCTGTACGCGTATGAATTCTGACCGAGCTGATGGTTCGTGTGAACGCCTGATATAAGGATTCGTCCTACTCTTATGGAAACTTCATGTGAACCACATACTCAACTGATTGCAAAACAGTTGAAGTAAGAGGTTTTATGGGGGTTGCATATTATCAATTGTATAAGGAATCGTCAATTGAACTATTTCTTTAATGTCGGCGGAACCAGTAGCACAGATAATGATAAGAATATGGTCTTGTTGTATCAAGACGTATGTTGATCGCTGAAGAAACTTGTTACACACTTTCCTAATTTACCTCAAGCTATAAATGATAACAAGAACTTTTACCCCAAACATTATAATGTATAAATGTAGATTTAGAAGATTAGTTGAGGTATTGTGGTTTTCACGCTTTCAGTCTGCTATCAAGTGATAAAAATTCGCTAGTAATCGACGGAGGTAAAAACGAAGAAACATGAGAAAAGAGCCTAGAGTGATGCGATATTGTATGGTTGGTGTCCATGTGAGTTCTGTCTTAGATTCAATAGAGGTAGTCAAGTGTTACCAGAAATATGATCTAGATAGTATATTGTTATAGACGAATTCAACACAGGCGTTTGTAGTGAATGGCACGCTTCACATAGTCTGTATCACAATTACATGTAGCTGGCCCAGATTTTATTTTATTAGTTCAACATTTTATTGGTAACGTTTTCTTGAAGGTGAAATTGAACTTTTTGGAATTAAAAATTTCATAATTGTTCGCAAATACAGATAAACTAAATCTCTCCACGTGCATTTGAAGGTAGCTTACCAGCATAGGTCAAAATAAGCGATAAAGTAATAAGCATATTATCTGGAATATAATTTCGTAGCTTTCATCGTACAGGGTTGATATACTTATAAAGTCTGCAAAGACTGGCTCTTTATCATTAACCATAACCAAAATGTGACACAGAATATATATCCAAAGATGCAAATGCAAGCCTTCATATGCATTTATATACACACACGACCATAGTTACTAGTGTAGCTTACTATACGACGTCGACAGAGTGAATGAAACTACGAATGCCTGTGACGTGTATCATTCTACTCTGCTACTTAACCTAAGCAAGTATTTTTAATAATAAAAAAGGTGTTGTGTGTGGAGTGAATCTGTAGAGTATATAAAGTGGTTGTTGTATCGACTATATCAGTATTTGAACAGACTCTCCTGGTTTCAACTTAAATTATTCCAGGTAGTGACTAGAACTTATACAGTGATATGTACTGATAGCGTATTAAACAAAGGCAGGTAAGGTCATTATTATCATCTATTATAAACACACGGATATCTGTTTATTAACTTGCATTTCTCTTTATAAACTTACAGTTTGTATGATGATGTAAAGGCTGTATATTTCTCTTTGGATAGCATACTTTTTGGATTATGATTTATTGATTTGATTGCTTTCCTGGATTTTAGCTATAATTTAGCTTAGCATTAAACAGACAATCTTACTATTGCAGATTTTGATAATCGTGTCTTTGCTCTTGCACACTTTGTAGTAAGAGGCATGAAATGGGTAAAACAAGTTGTCGTAAATCATTAAACTACAGTTACCTACTGACACTGTCGGCTTGAAGTGACAAGTCAAATATCTACTTCTTTTCATGTTTCACATAGTAAGACTGTATATTGACTTTATAGTAGAGTAAGACTTTGTTACTAATATAGATACTTCCTTGAACAATTTACATGTGAAACATTCTCTCAAACAATCTTTAGCATTTGACACTCTTAACATACCAGCTCTGAATAGTCAAAAATGACACATTGGTCATTTAAAACGGTAAAATTGTTTCAAAACTAAGAAGCGCGGAGACGATCGCAGTAGAACATTGTAGCTATTCAAAAAGCTTATGTTTAAGCTTTTGAAAAATATTCGAAAATAAATAAATCGTTGGTAACAAAAGATCAGAATAATTTTGAACATTGTCTTTTTATGACTGAAACTATAATCCTAGGTAAGGCTTTTGCCTGGCTCGGAATAGAATGCATTATTGTCATCTATTGTAAACATTAACTCAGACTTAGCGAATGACAAGCGATGGTGATTTTTTGTTATATTCTTTGTTTGACTATCACTCGACTGAAGACTTGATCTGCTCGATTAATTAGACAATGCATTCAGTCCGAATATTAAACAAAAGCTATATTATATGACAGAGTACATATTGATTACCTGCCAGCATGTAAAAGGTAGTCATAATGAAATGTCGCGTATTGTCGAACGCCAAAAAAAGAGAAAAAGTTCGATGTTTTACATTTACAAAGATTTCGCTCCACTTCAGCAAAATTCCTAAAGGTAGGATGGACTTCTTGACTAGGCAATTTAAACCAAAGAAACACTTGAACATGATATAATTTTATAAAATAACTCATAGAAACCCTTATGATTTTAAATGAAATCTAAGTATACTTTAAATGACAGCAATGCTCAGTTCTTCCTACATCCGTGCCTTATGAGAACTTTCCTCTCATTAATGATTGATATAGGGCTCTACTACTAAATATGTTTTGGGTTTCACGTTGCAGTTCAGATCGTTAGTATTTGGGTATTTTTATACTTCAATATCATGCTGTGATAGAATATTGTGTATATTATAGAAAAGAGTAAAAGGGGCAAAATGAAAAGGAATCTAGTGCCACTTTAAGAAAAAAACATTCTGAAAATGTTATCTGTAGTATTTTGTAGTATTATTTGTATCAATAGAATGAAACAGGTGTAGAAGGTATTAAATATCAAACCAGATTCTTTTACCTCACAAAACATACTTTTAACATATATTTCGCTGATTTATTACTTTATTCCAATCTTTCTTGAATCTCTGTTGAAAACGCCAGATACACGAAAATCAAATCTCTGTATTGTTGTTTCGAGTCGTTGTTCTGATTTCCCATAGACAGAAATATCATTTTTGAAATGTTTGTTCAGAGACGCCCATAGTTCGGTGCTACGGTGATGTTAATATCATAGGTAATGCCAAGCATAGTTATCAATTGATATTAAGGAATCAAGTTTGTTTTCAGTTTTCTAAACAAAATGAGATATTTCCAGGATAATTATAGAATTTCTACAATAATGAAAACTTCGAACAAAACAGTGTTTCTCGCGTGTTACATTGAGTATAATTGGGGGAAGCTACATTAGACATTAATCCCAAATAACATATACCGAAATCTTAACAAATACAATACAGAATTATGCACAAAATTATAAAGAAACCATTCTATCCGATACGATTTTGCTGGTAATCTGAAATTCGAGATGAGCTAGTGAATTATAACAATTATACTGAAATGAGCAATGACCTAATGATTAAAAAATCACAAAGAGTTTTAAATTTCAATTTACTAAAATTGCTCAGTAACTGTTGGGCAAAATAATTAAATATAGTTCTACGTGTGAGATGTCTGATTGATATTTTTCTAATTTTCCAAATGACTTAATAACAATTGAGTGTTAAACAAATAATACAGTCAAATAACAATAAGTTTAGTGTGTAGTAAGCTTACGATTCAAACCTATTCTTATCAACGTTCGACCCACTTACTTCCATGCTTTTTAACCATGACTTGAAATTTAATGAAAATTATGACCCAGATTTCTTCATCCGTTTATGATTTGGTAGTACATATTTGTCGGATGAGTGGAAAGTGTGTAAATTACATGAACACATATATAAGATTTAAGTTTAAAAGTCTATGTCATTGTAAGGAAGGCGGCAATATACTTATAATGATGTACATTGCAAGCTAATGCTAGGTGTTACACATATTCCATGGGCATGAGAGGGCAATTTTTCCTTCAAATCATTTGTCGTATCAATATTTGATAAGCAACTCACATCTGAATTAAATGATTAAATAGTCGAAAGTGTTACATTACATATACATATTCTGTTACAGATAACCAGCAGACTGTTATAAATGTAAATATAAGATATAGAATCGCCACCAGTAACTTACAATATAGTTTCTACCATGCCCAAGTATAAGTTGGTATATTTTGATTTGAGAGGTAGAGCAGAATTATCCCGCTTGTGTTTTGCTGCTGCTGGAGTTGTTTTTGATGATGTAAGAGTCCCGGTCACGAAATGGTTGGAAATCAAACCAAGTAAGTTAAATTTGTTCTTCGGCGTTCCTAAAATATCATTTATGTTGTTATCAGCGCAAGATTATTAAAAATAGACCATGCAATTATTGATACCTAAAATAAAATGTGACCATCACCACTATGATCTTAAATGGACATCTAACTATAAGATCAAAACTATTTCACCATCCAAAACTAGTATCATTACTTGCTTATAATAACTTCACATCAACACTACGTTATTATGTTATCATGATATCAACACTACCCCATCATCGTAACACCCTATCAACATTACCTTATCATCTAAATATGATATCAACACTACGTTATCATCTAAACATGATATCAACACTACCACATCATCCAAACATGATATCAACATTACCCCATCATGTAAACATGATATCAACACTATGTTATCATCTAAACTTAATACCAACAATAACTCATCATCTAAACATGATATCAACACTACCACATCATCTAAACATGATATCAACACTTTCTCATCATCTAAACATGATATCAACACAACGTTATCATCTAAACATGATACCAACACTACCTCATCATCTAAACATGATATCAACACTACCTCATCATTTAAATATGATATCAACACTATGTTATCATCTAAACACGATATCAAGACCACCTCATCATCTAAACATGATATCACCACTACCACATCATCAAAACATAATACCAACACTACCTCATTATCTAAACATGGTATCAACACTACCACATCATTTAAATATGATATCAACATTACCTCATCATCTAAACTTGATACCAACACTACCTCATCATCTAAACATGATATCAACACTACCACATCATTTAAATATGGTATCAACACTACCTCATCATCTAAACATGATATCAACACAACGTTATCATCTAAACTTGATACCAACACTACCTCATCATCTAAACATGATATCAACACTACCACATCATTTAAATATGATATCAACACTACCTCATCATCTAAACATGATATCAACACTACGTTATCATCTAAACATGATACCAACACAATGTTATCATCTTAACATGATATCAACACTATGTTATCATCTTAACATTATATCAACACTACCCCATCATGATCATGATATAAACATCTAAACATTAAATTTTAAACATTTCAACCATTCAATTATCACGTGAACCAAGTTAGACTTATTTACCTTCTATTAAAAAGAATATGATATCCCATTATGAAATCAAAATTTATATAATCACTTTCAGGGGCAAATTATTACTAAATCATCGTTATGCTTGTAATATTTATTAATATATACCAAAATGATATGATTTGCACTTATAACACCATCTTTCTCAGTTTGAATGGCAATTTATTCCTTTATTGACATTTTTCTGTCATATGTACCCAAATCTGTCAAGTTAACCGCGATGAAGCAATAAAACGATTGCTTTAACAAGTATGATAGTAGGTTTGATGGCCTATAAATTTCTCTTAAATCCTAAATTCATTTCTTAAGCTAACAATTTGATGTTGGACCCCCGTCTCCATCTGATATAAGATATTCATTGATAAAAGAAGATAAGTTTTCATTACCCACGGTTTCTCAAACAATACATTGACATCGTCATATTGTATTAGACCGATGAAAATTATATTGTGAGGCACTCAACTGTACTCTCCCAACTCCTAAGGCGTTTTGTACCTAACGATCGTGTCCTCACTGACCTGTAGTCGATGTTATCCAGTTTGTGGTTTAGTCTAGTTTTTCTCTATTTATTTATGTATATAAGTAGAGTGGAAGATACGATATATTATAAGTGTATGTTGTTTTTAACCTTTTATCATACGTAAATACGACTAACAGGTGAAAATAGCACATTCCTTACTCATCTTTTATTACTTCTGGATTCATTTAACTTTCTGTTCGAGATTAAAACAGCTCTGTGATGCTTCAACCACACTGTCAGAACAAATTGAATAGATCCAGAAACACAAAAGAGATCACCTTTACTGCAGTATGCTATCGAAACATTCCAGCTAAAGTAAAGTAGGGTTATCTACCAATTTTACAAAAAGTCACAGTGGCAAATATTTCAAATCAGTAACGGTCAAATTAGATCACATTAACATTAACTACCGTTCTCTTGATAGGAATTGTAATGTGCAATGTTTTGGTACCAACATTCGGTTGTTATGTACCATATGATCTAAGAGCAAGGTGAGGTCTGTCGTAACCTCAGTGAGCAAATGCTCATTTAGCTAAAAGAAGTTCAAAAATGGTGTTCTTTGTAGGCGTTTCTGGTTCAATTAGCATTCGAACTGGAACTGGTAATTGTTGTATTATCTGGCCAAGGTTTTCTAGAATTACAGGCATCACGGTCGTCTCTATTCTGTCATTGCCACGAGGTATACGGGTAGACACATAGTGGCAAGAATCCCCTTTGAATCTTTGGAAATTAACAAAGTTTGAATTCATCTGACAAATTGAGTTGTGATAAAATGTATGAGTCTGTGTAGCCCAGTAGGTACAAACTGGGCACTGTTTAAACTTCAACAGATGTCGTACCGAAGATCACATTAAGATCAGCTCTGTATATTTAACATATGTCTACCAAATGGCATTGTGTTTATTTTTCTAGTTAAGTGGTCAATTTCCATTTCTTATTACTTCAATTTCCGACTGAAAAGAATAATATAAATTTAATTCTAAAATAAAATTAATTTCTTCATGTGACACGTAAATACAATTATCCTGGAAATTACACCCTATGTCAATTTTTATTGTTATTAACTTTTTTATCGTTTTCCAAGCCAAAAATAGTAATGGTTTAGGGTTTTATAAATAATTTAATTGAAGGAAAAAGTCTTTGTTGATGTACAACAAATGTGAAATAAGCATGTCACGAGCAACAGGTTGTATATAGCTTCAGAATACAGCTAAATCAAAACTTAGATTATAGACCTGATGATGATTATAAAGGGGTGACGGTTTATTGGGGTTTTCCTCTATAGATTTTATAGCGACTCCATCCATATCCTTCTTTCCAATTTATATTGCTCACAAACAAATAGAAAGAATGTCAATCACTTCAGTTATTCTATATTAGCGTGGTTCTGTCGTATCCTGGTCGGATTGGGTCCATCTTTATGGCTGCAACATCTGACCAAACGTGTTTTATTTTCGACACAAATTGTCTCGGTTCATCATGGCTTTGATTGACATTGACAGTGAAATTATTGCAGATTCAACATAGCAACCATATATAATTATAGATTATAAAAGGTCAATAGTAATCTTTTTTCCTGTCATTATAATTATAGATACTTATCTCTATAGTTGGTACATATATTATTATATGATTAGATCAACAATATCCGCTAATTAAATCAGACTCGTACACGCGTTTCTATTTCACGTTTCAACACATAAAGGGTGATAACCTCTTTAGCTCTATTCTAGTGAACATAAAAGAAACTTTCATTGTAAATTCTTATTGGTTCGCAAATTCTAAAACTTTACAAGGTATTATCTCATGCGATCAAAATATTCTCTTAACAGGATAGGTATAATATATAATAAAACACCACTGATTCTAACTTCTAAAGCTTACTACTCAGTTGTTTCTCGAAAATGTCAACAACCACGATCTTTATGATAGACAAACGTGACGACTTTGATTTTCCCTTTAGTAAATTTTCCATTCATGCAATGTAACATAGCACAATACATTTCACAACTCATCTGCTATGCTAGGGCTTGTTCTCTTTATGAGGAATTCCTAGCTAGAGGTCGAGTATTAACTTTGAAATTGCTTTATTAGGGTTACTTGACACACAAACTTCAAATGTTATTGTTATGTAGGAAATTGTATGGTTGAACTCATTGACAAATACGACAAATCTGCTTCTTGCATTTTGGCTGATTTGTTTGATCAGGCATGAATATATCTGGTTGTATCTCATGATTTTGACCATTGTTGTAGTGGCGGGTGTCACGTGCGAAGCAGAACATTTTTTTTTCCGAAACACCTGATGGTACTTCTCTGTGGAGGAGTCAATTACTATACTACCTTTACTCCCAATTTCACTATTCTTTGGTCGAGATTTTTGATTGACGGAATTGTCTTGCTTGTACGGATTTTTAATATAATTCTTTGTATATGAAATTTTTTTAGGCTTATGTTTAACCACTTTCTTTTTCAGCAACACCTTACGGAGAACTACCTTATTTAGAATTGGATGGTAGAAGAATTACACAAAGTATGGCGATATCTCGTTTCCTTGCAAACGAATTCAGTAAGTATATAAGTTACATAATATGTAATGTAATCGAATCCCTCATCTAAAATTGAATTAGGCTATATAACTGACAAGTACGAGAATAAGTTTACCAGATAAATAAGTCGGACAGTTTTTAATACAATTCACTTCATGTATTGATCCAATTAGAATACCGTCACTCTTATGGAGTAATTAGTCTTGTCACATGCAGTTATTGTCAATGTTATGAGGTCATTTATGATAACTGCCTACGAGAACGCCTAGAAAGTGAAAACAGTTCGAATTGTAGCGTCGCCGGTTTTTGTCAGGATGGCTGACTATATACCCCTTATACGACGTAGTCCCCTAAGGCGACAAGAGTCAGGGGAAGTAATTTGTATATATTTTTCAAAATTTCAAATTCGACGGTCCTCCCTCTTTATCTCCTTCTTGAACCGCAGTGATATCCATCAAAGTTACTCGGAATTTTATTTTAAAAAGATAATAGTTATCTGCAAAATTTCAAATTAGACAAGATGTTTCTATAGCGGAAGTAAGATGTTTGGTACAGGCCTATTTGCACATTTTCAACATTCGGCAATTCTCGGCACTTTCTGTAAAAGTGAGTCTATTGCAGAGCGCTAGCGGACGATTCGTTTTCTGTTGTAAGTATTGCCAGCTCCAATAGGTTGAACATAGTACTTTATATTCCAATAGATTTATTTGGTGATAGTAATTATGAACGACTGAGAATTGATGAAGTAGTCGAGCTGGTTGAAGATTTTAGGAAGGGTTTCGTAAATTATTACAGAGAAGCAGACCCGAGTAAAAAGGTAAAGTCACTTATATCAATAAACATGCCTGTTGACAAAAGTCTCCCTACGTTTTACAGTCATATCGCAGAAATGTGTTTTGTTTGTGTAAAGGGAGGTAACGAAATTATTATATATTCAGACAATATTGAAATATCCTTTATGACTGAAGCCCTGATTCTATTATTTTCAGACCAAACTGAAGGAAAAGTTTGAAAAGGAAGATAAACCAAAGTTTTTAGGAATATTTTCTAAAATATTGTCTGGAAATTCATCGGGTTATTTGGTTGGCAACAAGGTAAAGTATTGATTGGTCATACATGATAAGTAATGAATATCTAGCTTTTGAGAGAGAAAAATTCTCGTTAGGCCTACTCGAGATCAACTTAACTAAATTCGGATAGTTATGCCAGGATTTTGCACACGAATACTTCGCTAGTCAGTCTGTACTTGTTTAACCCTTCTTTTGGGACCCAACTAAAATCAAATTAGTATTAGACTTTATTTTCCTTATTTCAGATATCTCTTGGTGATTTGGCACTCTTTGATGTCATGGAGTTTCCATTGGATCAATGTGAGACGACATTGGACAAGTACCAAAAACTCAGGGAACACAGAAATCTCGTACAATCACATCAGTCGTTACAAAAATATCTGGAGCAAAGACCAAAGACAGAAATTTAAATTTTAACTTATGTTTAACCACATTAACCTCTTTTTTTGTTGTTTTTGTTTGTTGTCGTTATTTTATAATTATTTTTATCAGTATATCAGCTGGTGTAACCTCAGACTCGAAATATCACCAATAGGATACCACAATATTTATATATTGACAACATAGCATGACAAATAGTTTAGCTTGATTGTAATCTTCAACTTCGCTGGAATACACTCAGCTTTAAAAGCTCGGCAATGTACAATAAACAGATTCCATCAGAAAGGCCATCTTTAATATGCAATATGAGAAAGGGCCATTTTCGGGTTTTTTATTTGAATTTTGAAAATATGTAAATAGTTTTAAGACTAGAAATGTATGAAAATCGCATAATTCCTTCAAAATACCTCAGGCTAGGAATTTCACTTTATATTTCCGTACAGTTTTTCTATGTATGGCAAGGAAAGACGAGTCGACATTTTAACTTTCAAGTGCGAATAATTCTGGACACACTTGACCCTTTAATTAATGGCATAAAATAAGCTAAATAGTAATTTGGTCAATGAGGACATTTTGTTAGTCTCAATTTTTTGTCTTCTAAATAGCTTTGTCATTTGCATTCGTTTTAGCATGTTCCTGTGACATATCCATCTTACAGGAGCAAGGATTAAATGTTTAGATCCTGACTTCGACGAATTAGATGCAGGATTGTCCAGTCAATAGTCGAACCAACTTTAAACAAGTATTTTTTAAGTATGACAAACACTCAAATGAACAGCGCACATGGCACACCAGCTTTAAATTTTATGTAAATATTTCAGGGACACCCTAGATCTGCAATTTTTGTAGTTTTTTTTAATTTTTTATATCAAAACCGTCAATTTACCATTAAGGTGTGTTCCTTGTTATAAAGAGGCAGATCTGAAGTCGTCACTTTCAATTTTTTCACAAACTATTTAATTGCGTCACTTTAATAAATGATCACGAAACCCTGGTATATCAACACAATCTATGTTGTTTTAAACTTCATAAACTGTATGTGTTCAACTAGAAATTTTAAAACAAAACCAAACATGCTTCAGGTTCAGGTTCTGGTTAAACTCTGAGTAACAACATGTTTCAGGTTATATATCTACTATTTTATTGTATAATTTTCAAAGAATTTTGTTGCTCACAAAGTTAAGATCGTCACTCCTTTGTTATACAACATCTCTTTTCTGTGGCGCTTTCCATCTCACCTCAAAGAACTTTGAATGTATCGGACAGAATATCACGATTACGACACTAATAGATATGATAAAAAGAACAGTTTTTTGCTTGATATAGAGTAGTATATCTGTTGAAGTTGGGATAAGGTGATCTGATCATAGAATTATATAGTGATAACAGTAATGATATACTTACTCTACGTGGTGTATTATATTGTACTTCATTTTTATTTGTAGAATATTTTTATATACTTGATAACAAATAAACCATAAAAAATATAACAAGTTATTATAAGATGTTAAGGAGATGAACCAAATCAAATTCTCAATCAAATCTGCTTAATGAGATGGTACCCAAAAGTCATATACATATCCTCCCACAAACCTCTATTATGAAGTGGTTAGTGAGATAGTACCACAAAATGTCTGTAGCGACAAATGACATGATACTATCAAATTCTATCTCACAAACGAATTCACAGGATTTACTTATACAGATTGCTATCTGGTAAACGGTCACTGTAGTCCGGAACATAACATTACATACCACAAACAATACCAAGTAATCGAAAAGATGGAATTTTCATGGAAACTGCCTGATGGCAAACCTAGCAGGGATCGTAATGAACCTGCCACGTTATAAACATACGGATGAAACACATAAAAAACAGTGTATGGAAGCAGGGTAATATGTCCTTCACTCTGACTACAAATCTAATGATGGATTCACTGAAAAAAAAATTCATACTGCAATCGTGTCATATATATATACATAAATAATTTACGGTGACTAAATAAAGGGAGGGGGGTCAAGCAACTGGTAATATACTCTTCTGAATTAGGAATCAGATGTTAATGATCCATTTATTGGCAAGAGCAATTCATTTGGCCACTTGTTGCATTTCGAGTATCTCTGATGGTCAATGTAAAGTGTCAAAGCAATTAATCAAACAAGTGGTTGCCTAGCAAGATACGCCCACTTTCTTGACAGATTTCCAGTACATCACGGGCGGTCATCAATCTGTGTCAAATCAAATTAAAAATCTAATTTGTGCAGGATATATACTCTTCAAAAAAAAGAAACGCATAGTATATATTTTATAATTTTTCTAATAAATAAAAATCAAAGTTAATTGTAATTGTTATGCGAGCGATTAAGTACAGTATCAGGTGGGTTTTAAAACAAACTGGTTTTTAATTAAAGGTCATTTACGGGGACTGTCCTAGATGTCGGCCGAATTTGAATTTGCTTGTTTGGCTCGATCCACGTGAATAAATCAATACCGCATGCTTTTTTCATGAAACCTAGACTAACAACCTGTAAAAGGCAGGGGTTCTCGGTTTTGAAATCAGTATCACCTTATGACGCAAACGGATGAGTTATGCCACGTCTAAATGAAATGAAATGAATGGAGTTTTACGTCCTACTTTTCTCTGCACCATATGGGCTAATGAAGACGGGCGACGCCATGCAGGGTGCAATGAGGGAAATTTTGCCAGGAATTTTTGCATTAGCCTGCTCTTTTTCGATTTCCAACTGTCGAGGGATCTTTAACGTGCACAGCCTGTAGCACACGGGGCCTCGGTTTATTGTCCCATCCGAACGACTAGACGCTTTTTCCATGTCAGCCCCTCGTACCTGCATCACTGACAGGGGGAAACAGCAGCGATGGAGAAGAGTTTGGTGCAGCGATGAATCCAGGTTTCTTTTACAACGGGCAGATGGCAGAGCAAGGGTCTACAGAAGACGAAATTTACGTTTTGCTGCTAACTGCATCCAGGAAGTCGACAGATTCGGTGGTGGAGGCGTTATGATGTGGGCAGCCATATCACATACTGGAAAGACCAACTTGGTTCACATCAATGGCAGCGTTATTGTGATGAAATTCTGCAACCACACGTTCGTCCAATTTTGCAGAATAATGACAGAATCTTCCAACAGGACAACGCCAAACCGCATACAGCTCGAATAACAACAGAGAAGCAACTTTGATATGCTTCCATGGCCCTCCAAATCGCCAGATTTGAACCCCATAGAACATCTTTGGGATGAATTGGACAGGCGCGTTCGTCAAAGACAATCTGCACCGCAATCCCTGCAGCAACTTGTGGATGCGTTACAGGCGGAGCGGGCAAACATTTCACAGCAATCCATCCAGAATCTGACATTATCGATGGGGAGACGCTGTCAAGCAGTAATTGATTCTAATGGTGGACATACGCGATATTGACTTTAAGTGACCTTGAACTTCCAAGTGTGCGCTGAACTATGAAAAACTGAAATTTAAAATCTGTTTTGACAGTAAAATACCTTACTTATATAAAATATCTTATTTTCTATCCTTGTTGTTGGTTTTATTATCAGCCACAAAATTCAAGTATGAGTTTCTTTTTTTGAAGAGTATAGTTGGTTTAATCAACCACACAAAATTTAATACAATTCTGACAGAAAATGTCACCTCTATCGCGTTAACAAGACAACAAATTTTGATGCATTTTTAGTAAGTGAAGGGCAATAACTCAAATTCCATTGATCGAAAAATCAAATTCTTGACTAAGATCTTATCATTATAAATGATCATACCAAATTTCGTTTAAATCGGATGAAAACTGTAGTCTCTGTTGTGTTCACAAACAAATTTTGATGAGACAAGGGCAGTAACTCAAAAACCGTTCGTCGAATTCCAACTTGTCTAAGATCTCATCACTATAAATTATCAATATACGACAATATACGACAATATACGACCATATTTTAATGTGGACGTATGAAAAGTTGGCAAGGAGTCTTATACCTACTTTGATAAAATGTATCTCTATTCATACTGCATAGACTACTCTGAAAAAGAATGACCATAATTACTAATAATTATGCAATAACAGCTACAAATTCACCTATAACAACAAAATATACAATAATTAATAATTAACACTAGTTTCTTTTGCAATTTGACTAACACGGAATTGAAGGGAGACAACAATTTTATTCGTTTAGTGTTTTCGGGGCACATCTGATTCTCGTGGTGCCAAATTGTCAGTGAACAACCACTTCAACCTTCGTTACATTCTTACAAGACTGCGTCGCTAAAATTTCCATAGCATACTCAAGAAAATGCCAAAATATGCTTGTCTACATTCCATTTCCAGAAAAATAGATATCTGCAAGCTTCATCAATATTATTTTCTTACTTAGAATAATGCTAATTAATATCAATTTTCATTGTATTAACTCTTGAAGAATAATTACTATCAGTTTTCATTATACTTACTCTTGAAAGATAATTAATGTCAGTTTTCATTGTACTAATTCTCCAAGAATAATTACTATCAGTTTTCATTGTACTTACTCTTGAAGAATAATTACTATCAGTTTTCTTTGTACTTACTCTTGGAGAATAATTACTATCAGTTTTCATTGTACTAACTCTAAAAGAATAATTAATATCAGTTTTCATTCTACTTGCTCTTGAAGAATAATGAATAACAGTTTTTATTGTACTTACTCTTCAAGAATAATAGGTATCAGGTTTCATTGTACTTACTCTTAAAGAATAATTAATATCAGTGTTCATTGTACTTACTGTACTTACTCTTCAAGAATAATAACTATCAGTCTTCATTGTACTTGCTCTTGAAGAATAAATAATGTCAGTGTTCATTATGCTTACTCTTGAAAGTTAATCAATATCACTTTTCATTGTACTTACTCTTGAAAGATAATTAATATCACTTTTCATTGTACTTACTCTTCAAGAATAATTACTATCAGTTTTCATTGTATTTACTCTTCAAGAATAATTAATATCAGTTTTCATTGTACTTACTTTTCAAGAATAATTAATATCAGTTTTCATTGTACTTACCCTTCAAAAAAAGTGTATATCAATTTTTCCAGGTACTTAATATTGACGGAAAATTAACATCAGTTTTCCGTGTACTTACTCTTAATATAATTAATATCAATTTTCATTGTACTTAGTCTTGAAAGATAATTAATATCAGTTTTTACATGCACTTGATATTGATAGATAATTAACATTAGTTTTATGTGTACTTACCCTTGACAGATAATTAATATCAGTTTTCACTGTACTTACTGAAGGGTAATCAATATCATATTCATTGTTCTAACTTTTAAAGAATAATTAATATCAGTTTTCCATGCAATTAATATTGATGGATAATTAACATTTGTTTTATGTGTACTTACTCTTGACAGATGATTAACATTAGTTTTCATTGTAATTGCTGCAGGATAATCAATATCATTATTCATTGTTCTAACTCTTAAAGAATAATAAATATAAGTTAATATTGAAGGAAGATTAACATCAGTTTTCTGTGTACTTACTACTAATACCATTAATTTATATACTCTATACTTATTATTGTGGTATAATTATTTTCAGTTCTTCAGTATTTTTTCTGTACTGACCCTATGAAGATAATTGATAAATATTTTACTAACTCTTGAAGAGTGATTAATATACATTTACTGTGTAGGCTATACTTACCCTTGAAAGAAAGATTAATAAAAAATTTTCCAATTAAACTTCAAGAGCAACTAGTATCAATTCCATTGAAAGAAAATTTGTTGACTGTACATACCCTTGAAGGATAATTAATATTAGTTTTGACTACTCTATTATTTAAAGGCATCACTGGTCTTCTACTATTATCTAATCTTAAAGCTTCATGATTTGATGTCCCACTATATAATCTTCTTAACGATCGTAACTAGAAATAACACAACAACATTAGATTTATACCCCGTATTTGGAAATCATGAACACGGGAGAAAAGAATACCAATGAATGAATTAGTCATGAGAATTGTAATGAAATTTTCATATACGATTTTGATTAAATGGTATAATGTTCGGTGAAACCGTAGCTATCGACAATGGTGAATGGCAAATGGATCATATGAAATGTGACGTTGAAATTCGAGAGAATTGTACTGATTCTGTAGAGAAAGCATTAAGCAGACAAAGACTTCCTAAAAAGACTCTCTGGGTCTTGGAAGCAATCCGATGTGATGTTATAAAACAATCCATCAGATTCGAAATGTGTCGTAACTGCAGAAAAATGAGCAAAGGATATAAATTATGTATGAACAAAATGATCAAAAACGTTCTTCAACCAAAATAACTTACATTTGATTTTGTGATATAAATTGGTTTATTTAAAATGATCCATGTGACTGTTTCTTGACAACCCGGCTGTGTGAAACTACCTTCATAAGTAACATAATAATTAGTCTTCGGTAATAAATCTCTCATATTGAAACCATCTAGTCTTATAGATTCACCTGAAATATATCACCAACAGACATCTTCATAAAATACAAAATGTACAGTTTATCGCTGAATATAAACCAAACAAACATATTTTTTTGTTAATTTAACTAAAACTATATAGATCGCTTTAAATAGGATCTTAAAGAAGCTAAATAAACTACTACAGCGACTGGTTGAACCATATTCACGGGACACCACTACAGAAAAAAAGTATAAAATTTACAGAGGAGCCTCGTGCAGGAGAGCATGCGTTTAAAACAATTCCCAGTGGAGGGGCCCCAACACAATTAATTCCACATCCCACACTCATCGAGTTGAGCCACTGACAGAATCTAGATACCAGTATCAGTATCCAAAAAATAATCTGAACGAAACGCAATTCGACTCTACTTAATATTCAATCAGATATGCCTATTTCAGGGTGTTGAATTACCGAAATCATCATCTTTAAACAAAATGAATAAATTTCTGATTAAGTACCATGTTCTGGTTAATTAGTCAATGTTCTGTTTTTAATTTAACTGGCTGCTGGTTTTTATAATTCCTTTAAACGACCCTCTGGACGTGCGTGCAGATTAATTTAAGTCAAGATTTAATTATTCATCAATGTGAGTGAAATATATGCAACATGCAACTCTAATTCTGTCAGCTCGGTTTATGTCTATTTATACATCCTAATCTTATCCTGGAAACGTGCTTTCACCGTCCCTCATTAGATTTCAAATCAATAGTTATTGACTCACAATATACCCAATAACCCATTGGCAATGAAAATGATAATAATGTACAGATCAGACAAGAATAAAAATAAGTGCTATTTTCTCTTTAATATTGATAGAGCATAAATCACTAGGGATTAGAGTGGAATATGAAAAGGATTTATTGTAGATTGGAAATTAATATTCTTATTTGAACTATGCTCCCGAGAGAACTCTTCCAACTTAGTCTGGTTTTTGTCAAGAAGAATTTATGAATTGAAAAATATGAAATTTATGGAAAATAATTTTTGAGACGAAGGTTGAGTGATAAATTGTCTGTATTATAAAAGGATGATAAAGGTTTATTGTTCACGCTTCACTATTCCCATTTCACCTATTTTTAACCAGAATCAAAAATGAAAAATCAACAAAGCGAGTTGATTTTCTCCAATTCCAATAAACTTGGTCTGTTTTCTTTAGAATTTTCTCGTTTTTTATTCTTGTATAAAGAATCGGTTTCTTTCTTTCAAATTGAAATGTTTACCTAGGGAGTAAGATAATAATAGTAGAACGGATTTCATTACTCCGTCAATTTCACGACAGGATTTATAGCTGGTTTCAGGATATATTTGTTAATAAACGCCTCCTCAATTCAATGGAAAAAATGAATGCGTCCAGATTTGGTACGTAGAAAGAAATAGCTGAACGAAAAGTCATAAGTGCACGTAAACGACGAACTATCTTCTGCCGAAGTATGCTGGCTGCCAACGCAATTCCAAATCCATTTGAAGATCATTTAATCTAAGTTCTGGTGTTATTTAATACACTTTAAGTTAAGTTTAAATAAGATAAGTTTTGGTGTTATTAAGTAAGTTTAAGTTTAAATTAGATAAGTTCTAGTGTTATTAAGTAAGTTTAGTTTATTTAAGTTCTGGTGTTATTAAATAAGTTGAAGTTCAGATAACATAAGTTCTGATATTAGTAAGTAATTTGAAGTTCTGTTAGGTTCTGGCGTTATTTAGTACGCTTTGGGTTTTCTGGTGTTATAAAGTAAGTTGATGTTTAGGTAAAATATGTTCTGGTGTTATAAAATAAGTTGATGTTTAGGTAAGATATGTTCTGGTGTTATAAAATAAGTTGATGTTTAGGTAAGATATGTTCTGGTGTTATAAAATAAGTTGTTGTTTAGGTAAGATATGTTCTGGTGTTATAAAGTAAGTTGATGTTTAGGTAAGATATGTTCTGGTGTTATAAAGTAAGTTGATGTTTAGGTAAGATATGTTCTGTTCTGGTGTTATAAAGTAAGTTGATGTTTAGATAAGATATGTTCTGGTGTTATAAAATAAGTTGATGTTTAGGTAAGATATGTTCTGGTGTTATAAAGTAAGTTGATGTTTAGGTAAGATATGTTCTGGTGTTATAAAGTAAGTTGATGTTTAGATAAGATATGTTCTGGTGTTATAAAATAAGTTGATGTTTAGGTAAGATATGTTCTGGTGTTATAAAGTAAGTTGATGTTTAGGTAAGATATGTTCTGGTGTTATAAAGTAAGTTGATGTTTAGGTAAGATATGTTCTGGTGTTATAAAGTAAGTTGATGTTTAGGTAAGATATGTTCTGGTGTTATAAAATAAGTTGATGTTTAGGTAAGATATGTTCTGGTGTTATAAAGTAAGTTGATGTTTAGGTAAGATATGTTCTGGTGTTATAAAATAAGTTGATGTTTAGATAAGATATGTTCTGGTGTTATAAAATAAGTTGATGTTTAGAGAATTCATCTTAGGTGAGTGTAGGTGCCAGAACTTAAAATGATGATAAATTGTCATATAGCGTGATTAATTAACTTTTGAGCTCTTCTTTAATTATTAATACATAAAATCTTACGATCAAATTCAAAAGAAAGCTATAGGTAGATTGAAAAACAGTCGGATTGCGTGTCCATGGAATTAGAATTAATTCAAAGTTAAATCCGTTTATCAACTATAACATCTACATTCAAACTAGTCCATATATATATTTGTAACATATTTGACACCCAGAAGTCGCGTTGTTTGTGAAGCTGCAACAAGATCCAAGTTAGAGTGTAGATGTAAACTTCAAGAATTACTGGTATTCTATCATTTTATTCCTAATATGTATGATAACAATCACAACCAAGAAATCAATAAGAAGCAAAATTCAAACAGAAATCCAACTAAGCCTCTTGAGAATTTATCATCTCAAAAAGTAGTATGAAAGGACTTGTCCTTTGTACCAAACCTTTAATCAGTATATAGTTAAAATATTTCTGGGGTTTTATTTCTAGAAGTATTGTAATGGTTGTATCTCGTGACCATAAGAATAATATTAGAACTCTAAACAACAGAATAAATATACAATCCAATAGCGTGACTAAAATACATTACGTTTTCTTCATTCCACGTCTTAGTATCGAGGAGTTATGATTTTCTGAAAGAAATTTCAGCTTGTCTAGACGTCTGAGAGAATTATACATTTACGAATGTCGGATACTAATGATGTACATTACTTATAGGGCTTATACTGGCAGAGCTTCCTGTTGGGAATATCGCCCGTAGTTTGTGTTTTTTTTTACGATTTGTCTATTAAGTTTCTATGAACGTCCTATAGAAATATATTCAACAGCTTTGCCAGAGTCGCACGATATGACAGGTTCTAAGATTCAAATAAAGGTATTAAGTTTCGCTTCTCTGATCACAATGGTATTCTACAATAAATATTGTACATTCCGACAAAGCATCAGTATGCCAAATAATTTTAAGGTTCTGAAACAGATCGTCATTTTTCAGAGAGTAGGAGCTACATACCTTTATATTTTATTCTTGATCCATAACTAGCTAATGTTTGAAAGGCGCTGCTATCTGGGTCACCTATCTGAAATATGGAAACAGGTATGTCAAACCAAACAATATAATTCGTTGTCAAAGGAAGAAATCTCTTATCTTTCCAGCCTTCATCTGAGATGAAGTGTTTCACAATAACCTCTAAACACAAATATTGTGTTGCTGTTTTCATATGGTCATCGGTTTAAATTTCCATTTCATTTGAACTTGAAAATCTGTCTCGGTGCTGTCTTTTTGTTGACATTCTTGTCGTCAGATTAAAATCAAGATTTAAACATGTACCTTAAGTGGCCCTCACACCATAGCGATCACCAGCTGCGTATGGTTGCGATTAAGCCTAACAGTTATAAGTTTCGAACGCAACTTTCATGCAACACTGTGTTGTTATTCGCAACCACACACAACTGGTAATCGCTATGGTTTGAGGAAACCTTTACATAAATAGCCATTTTATGGTTGTCATTTAGAGTCGATGTTTCAACCAATTGACCTTGAAATACGTTAACAGGTTTCTTCACCTTAAAATTATTAAATACCAGGTACTCCTAGTTCCGGCAGTTTCGTACACTTATAAAGGACTATACTCTTGCTCTTGGTAGTCTGAATAAATGCGTGGAATGGGGAGACAAACCACACATATTTTTTACGAGATTTAAACAAAAATCATAAACATACTTCTGCTAAAACTGCTATTATTGCTGTCCCAAACGGTTGTTTCCTAGCTTCATTTATTGTTTTATAAATATCTAGATTATAACCTATAAACTGAATCTAAAATGAAACATGATTATTTAAGTAAGTTATCTAAGATACAACACGATTTATGTCAAAATATATCCCGTCTATAGAATTAAAACAAACAAACTTCTCTCGAGTTTGCAAGAATCTGGAATAATCTGAAATAAAATGTTAAAACAGCATGCAAAGTTACCTCTGCAGCAAACGTAGCACCATCCACCATATGTTCTGAGCCTTGATCGTCATTTCTACCATAATGTACTTTAATTTCATTAACTTTATAGTTATACATCAATGGTCCATCACTAATATTAAACATACCAATCATGACATCATCAAACAGAAACGTCAGATCATGACCAGTGTTGACCAGATTACCTGGTATCTATAACATAAAATATCATGATAATATATATCTAATATATTGTAAAATACTAATTTACAAAAAAAAACAAGTACTAGAGACAATACAGGGAGATAATATAGAATTTGGTTATTTTCCTGAAAGTTCACTACAGGTTGGGTTTGAAGAGATTAATTCTTGAGGCAAGCAACTGGGAAAAGCTAAGCCAATTGTCTTGTATCATTTTGTAGTCGACAAATTAGATTATGGATATCAATCTTCCTGACAGAAATTAGATTAATGCTGGGGACAAGTAGGTGAACAATGTCAACTAGAAACATACATATGACTCAATTTCAGAATCTGCTCAACCTGCTCTAGACAATTCTAAGGCGCTCTCACTCATCGTACTTGTTGAAACTGTTAATTGTCGTAAAAGCCACCAAACATCCACATTCAATGGACTTTGTATGAATATTGAAATGAATTTCTGGAATCTTCATTTGAAAATTATTGGTTACAAATTACCCCAAAAACAGAAACCCCATCCATTCTAAAATATACATAGTAATCAAATTAAATTTTCTTTATCAAAAACATAAAAATATGCAAACGAAAGGAATAATGTCTTACCTTTTGTCGAATATCTAAATTAAGTCGCATTAAATTGGGATCAAATAATAATTTCGGGGGTAAAATATTAATTGGTGATTGGTACATCCCTTTTGTACATAGATACCAGCTCGTATCTAAACTTCCCCATCTTATAGGTCCTATAATATACATTTAGAAATGCATTAGATTTCTACTACAGTTATCATTTATTAAAGTTCGTCATACGTTATGTTTATAAAGGGCAGCACAATACGAGATGATCAGTTGAATGAATATACAAATTGATGAAATTAATATATCAAATAACAATATCAGCTATGTGGAAGCCAACTTGACAAACCTAGTCGCAGCGTGGCCTCGTGTGGTCAGGATTAACATGCCAATGATGACTTTGATGTCAAATCGTAACGAAGCAATTTAATATCAAGAGAAAGAAGATTCTTGGAAGAAGAAAACCAGGGCAATGTATCCATTTTAAACATATAGACCTCAAACCTCACTTCACGTTTTTCTTCAATTTCAATTTGTTTGTATTCCTGAAAACTAGTGTCTAGTTTCCATCTTTCGTTGATAATTAATGTCATTGGTATTCTTCAATACTTATTAGCATTATTGTTTGTTTTCCAAATGGTTATTTTTGTTTAACTTGTTTCATAAAAAAAAATCAAGACCTTTGCAAAACAAAAATCAATATATAAAATGTTGAGCGGATGTTATTTTCCATTCGAATTGAATGCCACAGACCGGAAGTTCAGTTTACGTGAATGGCCTAAGGGATATTATATTTCTGAATGGAGGAGCATTCAAGGGACTTAATTCAATCAATTCTCAAAATCGTTCAATGTTTTAACTGATATTTTCATCAAGAAGTGAGTTAATTTCCTGAGTCAATAATTTGTCAGACAAGCGAAACGAAATGTTCATGAAACTGTCTTTATTCAGAAACGACTCTGATAGTAAAGAGAAGTTGAAAACACAAGTCTGTGGTGTTAATGTGTCGTGGGTTTACAACTAGAACAAACGACATCTTAATAACGTCTTAAAATCACCAGCCAGTAAATAAACTAAGATTTCTATTACAACCCTATTCGAAATGAAATAAACTTGAAATATATCAGACCAACCTCCTTCCTAACTTACACTAAGAGTAACCATCTCTTACTTAAGTCGGATTATTGTCTGAAACGTATCGACGCTAAAAGCCATCACATGAGAAATGTTGACTAGGATGGAGGGCGAAATGTGTAAATTAAAATATAGCCAATTATTAAAACAGAAAATAGTCAATGTGATGTTTAATAAAAACTGACATTAGTTATAATATAATATAATATAATAATATTATTGTGTTTATGATTGTCATGAGCAGATTTATTTAATAAACTAATAATAGTGCAGTATTGATTTCAGCATCTGGTACTTGGTAATACCAGTAAATTGTGTTACGAATCCTAGAATGTTCCTGCAAAATTCCTGCTTCATACACTGTTCGTGTTTCAATTTACAATTAGTTTTAGCCATATACTTCATTGGAACTAATAGTCACTCATTTTCAGACAGCTAAGAATGTACATGCTGTATTGGTAATAAAGACAGAAAATGATTGCGTTTTTGTTAAGATAAAATATCAGAAAGGTTTGGTTATGCAACATACAATATACATCCTTAAATTGTGTAGTCAGTTAAACTTAAGCTAACTTAAAATGTTTCCTACTTGGTACCTAATGCATCAAAGGAGAAGAATATTCAGCGATGCTTCATTGGTACCAATAGTCATTCATTTTCAGGCATCAACTAAACAACTTCTCGTCGGTAACTGGTCTATGGTTACTCTTATGTTCATGTGGATTAACACTTCAATATTAACTTCATTCGTTATTTGAATCTTATTCAATTTCAAAGGATATTAAGAAATTATCTTGGAATACTAAAAAGGAAACACATTAACATCAATTCATTCTGATATCAATTCAACTTGATGACGCTGCACCGAGATAAGCCGAGAGTTCACCATTTCTGAAGAGCTTGGGAATAAAAAACATAAAGAGGTCTAATGGATTTATAATGTGACGATATTTTTTTAGGAGAGAGGATTAGATTTTCTTTTAATGGACGTAAAACATAATTCATAGTTCATCTCAAAATGTCAAGATCTTATCACTGCAATCTTGTATTATTTTCTTTTCAGGGTTATAGTGTATATAGAGATTATAGAGATTTATGACTGTACAAGAACCTCGAAACCACAATGGGAAGCAAACATATACTGTAGTAATATTTTGACATGAATTGCCTTGCAAACCAAGTAAAAGGTAGTTTGAAGCCAACAATAGTTTATTAGATCGGTAATATCCTCAGTCTCAAATTCACAATGGTATTTTATCGACTACTGTGTGCTCTGTTCTCTGTTCTAAATACTACTTTCGACTCCTTAATTTTAGGAAAGTATAGATACGTATAGGACTACTCTATTTAAAGACTCTAACCAAGTCTCACTATGATATATAATTAAAGTCTTTGGATGACAGACACAACTATATGACACAACAACCACTAGTTAAAGATCCATGCAACGCTTCGACATCGCCTGAAGTAGCATACAACTTTTACCAATGATTGATGTCTTAATGCCTATATTGTTTCAGTTATTATAAAAACCACCACATTTGATGAAATAACATGCCCCTTCTTTGTGTTAATTAAGCCGAGAAAGAGTTAATATACTCAATACAATAGCTTGTTACGATTCTGACATTGAATTAAATTTAATTGAATTAGATGAGGTCTGAGATAGTAAAGACGATACCCTATCTTTATATGGAGTCAGGAATGATAACAGCTAGAAGGTTTTAACAGCTAGGTGTTATCATGTTTTAGCAAGTGCCACAGAACATTATCTTAGACCACGGAACACAATGGAATATTTTACAATTTAATCATACAAATCAATACTGTATATTACTTAGCTTAAAGGGGTTTTTTTCTGATAATTTTACCAATAGGAGCTCAACTGTAAATATTACAATTAATTCATGTGTATAATTTAATTCAAGATTTCTTACAGGGGCTCCAAAACTTTTGTGGTAATTCACTAATTATCGATAATTAGATAGATACATTTAGACGTACCTGAAGGTCCTTCATATGACCACCATTCTCTCCATGATATTCTTTCATCTAAAATAATAAAGAAATTATCTTGTTATGCAGAGCTTTTGTGGTCAATGATTTGTCGAAAATGTGGCATTCAAATCTGTGTTAAAACATAAACCATACAGAAATAATCTGTTGAATTCAATATTTTCTCGGTTGGTATCTTCAAAATGGTGTCTCGTCTGTGGAAAATACTTCCCCGTATTGTAATCCCACCCATTATGATAAGTTAATAAGATGCTGCAACGTGAAAATGAAGAGTTCCCCATCACTAACGGAGTCATGCAGTTCTAAGAATCTTCCTCTTCCTTTTAGCATGATGCTTCTCTCTGTTTTTAAAGACCCATGCATTCAGATCACATACAGTGTACAGGGTACCTTCAAATACTCAACGCCGAAGGCAACGAAGAGAGTAACTATATCTCTTGTTAGAGACTCTGTCCGGGACAACCAAGCACAATAAGTATCGATAAGACTAAAGCGCTATTTCAACCTGCAAAGGGCTAAACAAGGCCTAAACACCAACAATGCCTGAAACAAATATCAACGGGTTTTTAACAATGTCGACTCCTTCACCAATCTTGCTAACAGTCTTGACAAGGAGATATCCAACCGCACCTCAAAGGTGACCAAAATACATTGTGTCCGTATTACTGTGGCCATAATACCTTGTGCCCGTATTACTGTGACCATAATACCTTGTGCCCGTATTACTGTGACCATAATACCTTGTGCCCGTATTACTGTGACCATATTTCCCATGACAAAATAATCGTGCACCCTCTAAGGCAAGTGATTTATATGGCAAACTACACAAACAGGTATGGAGCGAGTATGAAGTGTGTGGTATACAGTAGTCTTGACTGCATTGCTGTACGGATACGATTCATGGTGTGTTTATCGCAGGCAGGCGTATCACGTTGCTCGACCACCAGCGCTGCATATGTCGTATCTTAAACAACAAAATATGGTATCACAGAGTCTCTTACGTGAAAATGTTCCTGCAAGCCCAGTATATATGCATTGGTAACACAGCCGCAGCTGAGATGGTCTGAACACTCATGCGTATACAAGACAGCAGGCTACCAAAGCAGCTTTTCTATGGTGAACTGAAGGGGGCCTCGACCAAAAGGACTATCAAAACTTTGCTACAAAATCCCGTAAGAAATGCGACGGATATGAAACAATGGGAATTCCTGGCCCGAAAAATTGGAGGCAAGCAACTTGCAATTTATCATTTTCTTAAATAGTATCAATCCTAGAGTTTAAATCAGTGATAATTAATGCTACAGGATTCCTTGTAGTCAATTGTCATTTCTACCTTTGAAACAAAATATGGCTTCTAGAAACCGAAATAAGAAACGTGACTAAGATAGAATCTTTGTTATTTTTTTCACATTGCTCTGTAGAGGTTAAGAGAAAGTTACAGTATATATCAGATCGATTTGTTTTTGAAGACATTGGATGCCAACAGAATTACTTAGAATTGATTTATCTAGGTATTTTAAACATCAAAGATGTCATGCATCAATTCTATAAAATATTAGTTACGTAGTTACGGTCATAAGGATGAGGAAACATAACACAAGACAGCTTCCGTTTATCTATTTTCATTCATACCCGACATCGACAGCGATATTTAAACCTGAACATTTTTACAGATTTGGTTTTAAGAACGTTGGTTGGTCTATTATATTTTATTTTACTCGGTACATATTCTTTCTAATACAGATGCCATTCAACCGTTCAATCAGCTCTAACGATGTAACATAAGCTTTCTTATGCTTAAAACCATAGTCATGTTTCCCAATGCTGATTACTTTTCTACTTCCAGCAGATCAAAGGTCAATGACAGCTTAAACAATTATCACTAATAAAGTCATCAATACAGTGGAAGTGAAGTTTATTAGGAGTCAATAATAACATAGTGCCTTTCTGTTTGACAAGTGTTAAGAAGAGGAAATAGAAAATAAAGTAGACTTGTAGTCAACCACTGTAAGGAGTATATAAGTAAAGTGAACAAAAATGATCGATTTGCACAGAAATTACTCTTCTCTAATTGTTATTTTGAGAATTTGGTGTTCAAACTTATTAAGTTTGTTTTGAATGAAAAGAAAGCCAAATAAACCTTCGCTATTCGTAGTCAAAAGATTAAAACTATCGGAAAGCTACATTCGATAAAACAACTTACAACAAGAAATGGACGTGTGAATTGGGCAGAATATTGTCAGTGATCTTAAATTCTCGAAACAGTTCTTTTAAGTACAAGGTCTTCGACCGATCAAAAATTTAAATTCGAAAAAAATACGCATCCAATCATCTTCATGCACAATATCTTCTCTTGTTTTGGGAGTAAATTTTTGGATAGCGATATATCTAAACTGATCATAGCTAAAGCTAATGGGTTAACAGAATCATGAACGCTTTCAACAAAACCAAAGCTTTCGGGGTTAATGTAAATTTTACCAAGTAAACTTGATAAATATAAGATTAACAGCCGGAAGACGTATCGATATTTTAAGTTTTATTCTAGACAGAGGAATCGCTTAAATTCTAAAACATCAACGTTAGACGACCTCTCTAATTGTCTTGTTTGCTTTAGCATTAAGCTATTTGTGACGACCGAGCTGTTGATGTTACAGTACCTACTTTCTTATTGACATAAAAGTTTCAAGGACAAAGTTGAAGTTCCAAAATGCTGTCATAAAGGACATGGCAATAACTTTGGTGATAAATTTTGAAATATCAAGAATACTATGACCTATCCTGGTTTGTTTCTGGATGCTGAGATAGATCATAAAATTTAATAGTCGGTCGTGGTTTCCTCTGAAATGTTTTGACAGTACTTAGATACCTTTGTATATTTCCGTGTGACAATATAACATAGTTGCCACTAATCTATAAAGTACAACCATAATAAGACATTTTCATCATTAACTTAATGCAGCCCTGGCCATGTATTCTCAAAACGATCCTAGTGCTAGGATGTCCTAAGATCTTATCTTCTAACATTGATTCTAGGACATCATAGCCCTAAGTTCGTTTCGAGAATACCAGGCCTGGTCTTTTTATAACCTCTATGGATGGTGGATTATAATAAGACCAATATGAATCATAGAGGATTGATAAAGAATATATAATGGTTATCAAGTTTAACATGGAACAATGACACGATATCCTCTGTGTATGATTAGAATCAGTGGAATATTAGTATAATATACAATATAACCCTCTTGTGGTTGTAGATAATATAATACTTATTGTTTGTACAGAAGAAGGATTTGTAAAATAATTATTCACCACTACTAAATGCATATTATGCTAACATAAACAAACCACCTTTGGGTCCAAGTAGATCTGTTAGATGTGTTCTGTAATTCTTTCAATTTTTCAATTTTTCAGTGCTGTTGCACGTCATCGTTGTTCATGTTTGTTGACTGCTACCAATTATCGGATCAGCTTAATAACCTTTCGCAAAATGGAAGTCGAATTCTATTGGACTATTAAGGACAGACGCTGTGGCTAAATTTTCAGGTCGACTTACAATCTATTTCACAGTCGACATGAATGATAATCTCTTTTAGAGGAATTGTCTACAAGCAACTGCATAAACAGCATGGTCGCAAAGTCGACGACAGGAATGTAAATGCGAACAACTCGTGTTTATTTGAATTCTTCAGTCATCGGCGAGTCCAGGTCGACGAAATCGAGCGATTCCTCAGATTACCCTAGTTGAGTTCAAAATCCAGTTTTTCCTACATTCTGTCAGTCGCATGGTATTTGATCGATTGAACATTTTATTAGGCCTATATGTTCTTGTTTAAAATTGGAATAGAAAATTCAATTGATAATTGAAGTGACAATCTGATCGAATAAGTGTTTGATTTCTGACACTGAAAGATAAAAAAATGTGAATTCAATTATCATTATTAAATATAAACATAAAATGTTTGATAACATTTATTTACATTAATTTGATTTGTTTACATTATAATTTGTAGTCTGCTATTCCGTATCCAGTTGCATGCAACTCTGATAGTTATATCTGGTTTCAGAGAAAAACACAACATTCCAATGTATAGAAGTGGAAGGTAAAGGGTTAGTATATTGCAAAATTATTGCATGTAAATTGTTGTGTTGAGGCATATCTTTGCCAATTTCAATCTTAAAACAGAATAAAGTAATCGATAAGACCATATTATGACATACTTTTCTGATCCCAATTGAACTCCAGAGCTATTGAATTTTAGGCCGACATGGGGCCACAGATTAAATGGACATCTCTCTCCTACATGATGGTTGTCATTTGCATGATATAAAAATAAGTTGATACATCTATGAATATTTGATTCCAAACAGAAAAAACTTGTCCTTCCAGTATGGATTGTTTCTAGTATTAAACGTGTTATGTTCACCTTCAAACCTGTTAGTTTTCTTTGTTGGATTCATTGTTAAATGTCATCATCATACAGAACAATCAGCTCCAGTCAGCTAATTCCGTTTACTTTTTTTTTTTAAAGAACAATGAATTTAATTGTTTGATAGAATTTGCCATTTAGATATTGAAAACTCTTTTTTTTAAAACAAGATTAACATAGAAACCTGGTTCAAAAGGAATAAAAAGTAGACTTATTAATTTTTTTTGCACGATTGAAGCCTGGAAATGCGAATTTCTGGGTACCTCCTGTAGAAAATTTTATAAAATTTGACGCCCTGAAACGCGATTTTCGGACATTTCTGGCAAATTTAAGAATTATTTGTATTTGTGGAACCACCACAATACAATTTTGAGAATTAGACGCCTGGAGATGCAAATTATTGATATTTCCCAGCGAATTTAAGGTTCAAGATTATTTGTATTGGTTCTGTGGTATGTCGCTTAGACAATTTTGAGAATTAGACGCCGGAAACGCGATTTCCTGACATTTGCCGACGAAATTAATGTTCAAGATTATTTGTCTTCTAACAAAGACTCCCTTTGAATCAGTAAAACGAATTAATGTATTTAAAAAATAACAATTGACATTTCTTTTAAAGAGGGGGGGGGGGGGAAGTCTGTGGGGGCAAGATTGTATTTATCGGGGAGCTACGGGATATATAAGATGGCCCATAATATCAGCAATTATAAGATTCTGCGCAATTTCTACTAGGTATATGGTTGGGTTCGTAATAGTTATATAATAGTCATATTATGGAGCTCCCAACAGAACTTTTAGGCTTAGGTTAACCTATTGAAATTCCGATGGTAAATAACAATACAATTGAATGATAAATATATGACAGTATCACCTACCTATATTCTGGTCACAATTGATGTCCTGCAAGCATAATAACAATAAAATAAAACCAGCTGGACATATTCCAAACATTTTATTCCAAATTTTTATTTTAACTTTCCCTCCTCTGTAATGAAACAAGAGTTAAGGACTATTACCATAGCGTGATCGTCTCGCTTATTAAACATTAGTCGTATTCTCTATGGTATAAATAAACGTCACGTGTAGTCTGAGATCAATATTCCTGCAAGTCTAGAGTTGAGATGGCAGTAAGAGAATTCATACTGAATATTCGCTTCATATTATTCAATTTCTGAGTGATATGTTACAGAGAACTATAATAATGTACAATAATTATATTATCTCAAAAGCGGTTGTTATTATCGGTTTTTAATACGGTGAATATATCATGCAATTTTGTTAGTTTCAAATAGTAAAAGGCATCTTTTCTTTCAAAGACGTAGATAGGTCGCAATACCGGTACTGGAAAAGTCAAACGCAGAAAACTTCCAGATCTCAAGTAGCCCAGGCTATGTAGCTCGTTGTTTCAAACAGTTGGAAACTTTCGCTGAAGAAGTGGCATATGTTTAGCCTTACTTTCAGATAATTGTACCAATTTGAAGATGATACCTATCGATTTTCGTGATGATTTTGCAATTTTTCACAGAGTCTCAGCGTTACACTCAATCTAGGAACTGTGATTACACGGACCCGTGGTATCTAACACATTGGCAAGCACGTGTGTTGGACAGGGTGCCAAATATATTCGTTCACATTATATTGTAAAACACAAAAATGTTTTTACAAAATTTTTTTTTAATTTAAATCAAGTATGTGTACATTCATTTTTTGATTTAAAACGCCCGCCATTGTAATGGCAGCGAAGTCATCCGGGCGGTTGACAAGAGCTATCAATAAATGAAATATTTCGAGGGTAACATTCTCAAACTGCACAAGCATTAATCAAAGACTTTTGAACGTTTTCAAGAACAAGGGCAATAACTCATATTAAATATTTTTCGATTTGTCAGATTTTGAATAGGGTACATGCTTGGGTGATTACGAACAACACTTTCACGCCAAGTTTCGTTAACATCCTTCTAGAAACCAGCTCTCTATCAGTTTCATCAAAATCAGTTGAAAATTAAAAGAGCTACAGCATGTTCACCTTAAATATTACTACTGGGATGGATAGTTGGAAAGTGAACTAATGCTGTCTTCTGCGGAGTTTACCATACATAACATTTGTTGAACAGATGGACAATGGTACAGAACAAGGAGGTTTAATAGACGGACAATACTCATACAGCCACAAATTATCTGGTCCGAGTCCGCACCCGGTCCGGACCGAGTACGAAGCGGCAGTGTAAACAAATTCAGAGGGCGCCGTGCTAGTTTCAAGTAGGACCGGGCCAAGTATGGCACGGCTAAATATCAGTGCAGTGTAAACCAACCAATAGAGATATGTGGACCTATTAAAGTTATAAATAATATCAAAAACAATCTCATAAATACTTATATTGTTTAATGTAACAAAAACATCCATCAGATGAATATTAAACAAAATAAATCAATGACAATTCATAAGTTTGAGTATAAATTAAAACAAACAAGGTGGAATGGTAAATGGTAGTAGGTGGTAACACACATTAACAAAATATAAAGTCATAAATAATAAATTTGTATTTAACCTCATTTTAAACCCCTTGTACAGATTACTCTTCTTATACTCATGTATATGAATTCTGATCTTGTTAGCATTTTTCATCAGGTGCTTGTTTTAAAAAAACATTTAATAATTACAATAAATGAAAATTTCCATGAATTTTATCTTTAACATTTAGTTTGACAGATGCTTCTGGACAGCCATTTACAATTTTCAGTCAAACTAAAGAAATTTAAGTATTTTATTTAAAATTGAAGTATAAAGAAAATTGAACCACAAATGAAATCAACAATTCATATTAATGAATCCAAAACAGAACAAAATCATACATATATGATACATGACTAAACATATGAGAACCAAGTCTAACAATTCAATACATAGAATTAAGTAATTAACTTAATTTAACAAAATTCACCTTATTTAGCAATTGGCCAAAAACAAATAAATTATTTTAAACACAATAAACATTCCAGCTTTAGCTGATCAAGAAAATGAAAGAGCTTAAAATAAACTTTACAAAACATAAAAGTCAACTTCATACCGGTATATACAATTTTTATAATATACAAAGCACACTTACGGTAGTTTCATCAACATTAAAGATATTCAGACACTGCATGATAATTTAATAAAAAAAATACATTCTCCTGGCAATCTCTAATATTCACAAGCATACATCATTTAATTTCATTAGAAGATTTGGATGACATTTAGAAGCGAGGAGCACATGTATAATACAAGACAATAATTATGGGATAAAACACACTTCTTTAATACATGGGTACATAATGTTTCAACACGAGTTACACGTGTCACATGAAACGTTATATTCCCACATATCAAAGAAGTGTGTTTTATCCCAAATAATTTCAGTTCAATTAAAGTCAGTCACGCATTCAGGATAATTTACATTTTAGTCTGAAGAATCAGGAGTTTTATACACAGCTGAAAATAAGCTCTGATCATCCAAACTTTAAAGGACAATATATGGAAACATGCACTGGTGTAAACATATATATCATCTACAAACTGTTACTTCTATCTAGTTACAAGCATACAGTCACTACAGCTACCTGCTACATAGCCACTATACAACCATATTATAATAATAGTATATAAAAACCTGAGATGATACTGATAAAGAACATATTTATTGTATGGTGATATAATAATGAGAGAGTTACAGAGAAATCCTTCAAAAAACAAATATCCAATAAATAAAAAAAATTCAAAAATAAATAAGTAAAGCTGTAAGAAAATACACTTTTCCCTTTAAAGCCAAATTAGTAAGATTTAGGGGTACGAGCAAAACATTCTATTTACCAAATCTTGACCGAAGTAAGGCAAAATTGGGAGCAATAATTGTATAGTATGAATGAGAATTACTATCAGGTGTTTCGAAAAGAGTCAGCACGACACCTGCCACTTCTATGTAGGTCAAAATCATGAGATACAACCAGTTCAATAAAATTTTTTAAAATTAAAAAGGAACGATACTTTTAGGATGATAAAATTAGGAGCCTAAAATAGACAACCACATAGAGAGATAAGTGCCAGGTTTTCAAATTTTTTTAACAAACACAAAAAAGTAATAATTAGTTTGTCCTTGCTCCTTCATTACGATCGTTTTTCTATTGATTGTTTAACAACTTGTATAACTTTGAAGGGGTCTATATTTACATTTACAGCCTGAAAAAAATATCAAACAACTTTATTACAAAGTTTAGTATAAGATAGGAACAATTATAGTTAACCTTGTAATTAATTATAGTTAATCAGTCATGTATTTGTAATATGTAGAGAAGGCTTACAATACTAATATAGAGACAAAAAGATATATACTCATTTCACAGCATTTGTTACATGTGCACAAAGTTAGATATAATACTGTAAATACTCACAGAAAATAATTCTAAAGAACTTATATCACTTCTAATTTCAGCAACAGCACCTCTTGTTACAATACGAGCAAATGCTGGGAGGGATGATGAACCATCCTATAGAAACAAGGTTAAATTGTTAAAAATTTGAAGTCAAAAGATGATATGATATTACATAAATTCCTTTAGAATAGTTTAGTGAATGAAACTGTAGCATGTTTCTAAAGAAAAGCAAAAAAAAAGTATTATTTACCAGGGGTGGTAGACCAATTCCCATAGAGGTTGCTAATTTTTCTAAATCATCAATATAAGCTATAATATATTAGACATATTACTATTAGTGTTGTTATTTTACTGTTAGAATAACATTGTATATTTCAGGTCATTACAAGTATTCATCCCCAAAACAAGGCTTATAATTTTCAAAAACAGACAGTCTATAATGTTTGTAGTAAAGTAAGTAGTAAATGATATCATATATGCCCTGTATTAGTCTGAAAATCAACTAGTCTAGATTTAAATTCAAATTTGCTATTATATTTTATTGATACAATTTGATTTGACATAGTCATTTTAGAAGTAAGTCAAGTCACCAAGCCTGTGAACATTTTATAACATATGATAAGCTTTGGTAAGGTTATCATGAATATTTGTTAAATTACAACCAATCTTAGAATACAATACTTACCTCTCATTACAAAATATATCATCTTATAAAAAGCTAGAGTAGGTTTTCTGGCTATAATAATAACTTCATGATCTTTCTTAGGAGTCTGAAAACAGTGGGAAAATGTTTTACTTATCAATTTAGATACATTACAGTCAAAACAGAAAAACGACAATAGAGTATAAGATAATTGTTTTCTTTTACTGCATCAATTTAAAGGCAATAAAGGTATTGTACTACTGATATGGTACAACTACGTCAGATTTAAGAGGAATAGCATTTTGTATAATAGGCCATTCTCAATATCAATATGTCCTGTCTAAGTTTGAGAGACTCACAAGGTTAGCTAAGGCAACAGCATCTTTATGATGAACAACCAATCCCAAAGCTGAATGTACATTGATTAAATCAGTAAAATAATCAGATCCTGTTTTACGTTCATATTCTATTGCTGCTTGTTTTAATTTATCTGTTTCACCTACAAATTGAAGTACATGACATAAAAAAAATGAAAACTGATTGATATCTAATCTAAACACAATTGAAAACAGATTAAGTTAGCAAAACAAAAATACTATCAAAATCTGATCGATACACTTGCTGAATTTGATCAAACACATACCTATTTTATCAATACACAGGCTACCAAATTATCAAAACAAAGTCAAATCAAACAACTTATATTGAAATCAGATGAATTCTCAGCAACAGATTGCATCAAATGTAACTGTCATTTCAAGTTTTATAACCATAGAGTAATAGATAGAGTTTAGTCAAAGGTACTAACAAAGGTTATTTTAGTAATGTACATACCATGATATCTGGTTTTACCAAGTAAACCATGCATATGTGGATGAACTTGACTAGCTCCAGCTCGTGGTAAAATATCCCAGATAACCTCTGGACAATTAAAACTTGAATCATCTCTATGAGCTGCATCAAACCTGAAAGATATATCAATACATTGTAATTACACAAGCCTCAGTGATGGAAGTAAATGTTCCCTAACTTTGTGAAAACGATTTAAAAGATATATTCATAATAATAACACAATATTGTAAAATAATATGTAAAATTATCATTTAAAGAACTATGTAAGTATGTTATTGATTACTCTAATCATAAAATTTGGTTTTCATACAGTAAGCTCACCATTTTAAAGTTAAATTCATCATATCCATAAACTGTGTCAAATTCCAATTATGAGGATCATGAGTTTTAAGAGCAAACAATTCATGATATTTTCCTAGTTTAAAGGCATTAGAAGCAGAAAAAGAATATTTGGACTCTAGTCTACCAAATACATCAGCTGCAGTAAATCTGTAAAAAATAGAATAGTGAGATTTCAATTTAGGAAAATAAATATATCAAAAAACAATATGACCACAAATTCATTTCTATTGATACAGATCATGGTAATTCAGTAAAATTTGTCTTGTTTTGGTAACTTACATCATCATTGTCTATGATGCCATCAGATCACATTTTATGAGTTTATTCAAATAAGTGTAACCCATTAACAATATCTCTTGGTTTATAGTTGAGACAACTGAATGCAATTTTTAAGTGAAATGTAAAAAACACACTTACTCTTTATAGTTACAGAAATCACAATTTTTAGCTGTTTCTTCTACTAACCTTTTTACACTGGAAAATAAAATTAATGGAGTTTCACATCCTACTTTTCTGATTGGGCAATGACATGCATTGGTTATAATGTTCATCAAAAAATTCTTTTTGTTGGATGTTGAATGTTGATAAGTAATGATCTACATTTTGTTCCATCACTTTAGTAAATACATAAATAATACACTTAAAATTTTGTGATGCATTGTTGATAGCATGAAGCTCGTATAGATTTGTTGAACACTTGTTAATGGTCTCCTAATGTTTTTGATTATCACATATATCAAATTGATAATTAACTGTAACATACTATGTTTTCTCAGGTTCTGTGGGTTTTGATATGGGTCTTTTTTCTCGTAATGGATTAAATATTGTATTTTCTTTAGTCCATTCATTAACTACTTGAGTTACTTCCTGTTTGTAAACCTCTTTAAATAATTCTTCATTATTTTTCAGCCACTTTCGAACTTTAACTTGAAATGATTCTGGTAGGACAAGTGGTGCTGGTGTTTTTTCAATAAAATATATTGTAGAGAACTTCTGGTACAATTGCCTGTAAAAATAATATATAGAGAAACACTTTACAGAAAACATTTCACAAAGATAACATAAGAAGTTATAAGGATCCTGTCTCTCAGATAGAACAAAGGACATGGTGTTTTGAATATTTGATCAATTCGTTTTTTTTAAATATACAGAGATATCAAGGGTCAAAGCTTACATCTTGCTTCTTGTTTAATGCTTTAAAATATTAGTTTTTGAAATGTATTTAAGATGAGCTTGAGTGATGGTGCCAGTATGCTAAATCTTATCTTTCTCTTGTCAAGAACAATTGTTGGAACTGTATTGTCTAACTTACACACAAGAAGAATCTGTAGATAGCTTCCATTGATCTTGTATCACAGCTAAATTCTTAATTCTAAACTCTACCCTGTCTTTTAAACATCTTTGTTGGGTCCAATCCTTAAAGAAATTATTACTGACCTTAAGTCCATTGTAAAACTAGAATGTAACCAAAAAAATCAACTTCAAACTCAAATTTGATAATCATTTTTATCATTATACCTTGTTAGTTCAATGATAATGTGCCTGAAAAAAAATTGGTCAGGTGCAAGATTGTTTTTAGTAATGTTGAAATCATAGTGTTTATATCATAGTGGTATACAAACCTGAGTATATTCATTTGTTGCTGATAAAGACATCCATTTTAATTCACTTTCATGGTGAAATGAAAAAATGGAAGATTTTTTAAATAACACTATCAATATCAATACAAACAAAACACCACCAACTACAGCTACTTTCTTATTCAACTGCATGATTATCATGTTTTTAAAAATAAATTCTGTCTGAAATGAAAAAAAATAGTTTTTTCACAGCAATTACAAATAAACTTACAACTTAACATTACCATTGCCAAACCAAATCCTTTTTCAATAAATGGATAGAACCATCAACCATGGATCAAGTTTTGTATGAGGCAGTCAACTTTAACGATCAGTTACATACAAAGCGGTTAAATGTACTCAAATATTCACAAGTGATGTGCATACTGGTACAGCAACTGTCAGTCAGACCCTCTACTATGTTTTATGGAAGGTGGAATGGTTTTTTTTATTCTTCATTGTTATTTGCTACTTAATTCTTAATTTGTAAGCTAAAATTCAAAACATTTGTTATAGAAAATTGCCATTTGTGTAGGACAATCAAATTTTGTACCTAAAGCACCTTATGTTGTTTCAATGAATTTTAGCAATAAATTACTCTTAATTTTCACTTATCTTATTTTGTCAGTCACTATATATTTTTTAAATCAATGTTCTTTGAAGGAATTGTCATTAGTTATAATGACTTGATAGTAAAGATAAAGATACTGAGAAATGATAATTATGGCAATGGGCATCCATACAACGTGTTTATCTAGACTTAATTATAGATCATATATTGTACATGAAATTGAAAATTGTCAACATGTTTTTCAGCCGTTGTCGAGTTGGTTACTCATGAAATATCTGTCAAGGTGAGGGATCCATAAAGAAAATCAAAACGAAATAATTTTAATTATTATATAGAATATCTGAAGAAACATCTAAGACATAAAAAAAAAAATTACGTTTTTCAATTTTGACAGTTGAATCCTTATAATACAGTGGTGTAACCTATTTTCGTGGATTTAAGGATTCAACACCGAATTTCGTCAAAGTTTTTTATGTCTTAGATGTTTCCTCAGATATTCTACAAAATAATTAAAATTGGTTTGTTTCGATTTCTTTGATTCTTCACTTTGACCCATATTTCATGAGCAACCAACTCGGCAACGGCGGCAGAATGCGTCACCTATTTTTGTGTACAATGTTTGATCTATAAATAAGTCGAGAAAAACACGTTGTATGGTTACCCAATGGTATAATTAACTTCTCTTAGTATTTATCTTTAACTAGTTACAATTCCTTCAAAGAACTACGATTTTAAAAAAAATAGTGACTGACAAAATAAGATACGTAGCGTGATTTATTGCTAAAAGTCACTGAAACAACATAAGAATATGGTCCACTTTGTGTTCCATAGAAATTTTCTGCTGACACGGAATCCGCTAATTGATCACGTGACTTCAGTCTTTGGACTACATTCTAGCAGACGAATCTTGGAATTTCGATTACCGCTTGGGATTATAAGGAAATTCGGCTGATAAAAAATGGTGACGTTTGCTAAAAACTGAAATCCGCCATTTTGTATTTGTCAAAGTATATATTAATAATTTTACCTTGCTTGAAACGACTGGATTCATTCTACTAGCTGACATTGTACAGAAAACCTATGTTTATCAAAACAAGCAAATGCGGAGGTCACACGAGGTCGCACATGCAAATTATTAATCCTTTCCGGAAATGCACGAAAAATAGGTTAGCACGAAATTAGGTTACTTGACTGTATATGCATGGATATAGGAGATTACTGTACAGTCGAGTAACCTAATTTCGTGGAAACCTATTATTCGTGGATTTCCGGAAAGGATTAATAATTTACATGAGCGACCTTGCACGACCTCCGCATTAGTTTGTTTTAATAAACATGGATTTTCTCTACAATATCAGCTAGTAGAATGAATCCAGTAGTTGCAAACAAGGTAAAATGTATTAATGTATACTTTGACAAATACAAAATGGCGAATTTCAGTTATTACCAAACATCACCATTTTTTATTGGCCGAATTTCCTTATAATCCCTAGCCATAATCGGAATTCCGAGTGTCGTCTGCTAGAATGTAGTCCAACGAATGAAGTCACGTGATCAACTAGCGGATTCCGTGTCAGCAGAAAATTTCTATGGAACACAAAGTGGACCATATTCTTATGTTGTTTCAGTGACTTTTAGCAATAAATCACGCTACGTATCTTATTTTGTCAGTCACTATTTTTTTTTTAAATTGTGGTTCTTTGAATAAATTGTCACTAGTTATTATGAATTGATATTAAAGATAAATAAGTAGAGAAGTTAAAAATACCTTATATCCACGAAAATAGGTTACACCACTGTACATCTCTGACATGTTTCACCTCCATAGCTCTACGGAAATTGGAGGAGGGCGAAACAGTCGGAAACAAGTAAGTCGGAAGTAAGGGTGTGCTAGATTGCAGAGCTCGAATTTTGATTCGTTTTTGAGAGCTTACCATTTGTTTATAGTAGCCACCTTTTTTACTGATCGCTCCGTATCATAACAAACAACCATGAATTGTTTTTCCGGAAGTTGCATATGCTTAACAAACACAGACGAGATTTTTCCGGAAGTGGATAAATTAATTTGGTACTATATGCACATTTTCTAAACTTTGCCTTGTAGTTGTAACACTAAGAGCTATTCATCTTATTTGATAATTCGTAAGGAACAGGAAATTGCAATTTGAAATACTGTAGCCTTTGTTGAACAGGTATCTATTACTGTAACACATCAGAATCCCTGCCGATATTTATACTATTATCGAATTATTAAACAAGTTAGACTGCCAAAGGGAAACAACTCCAATTGATGCCGATCGTCCAGTCTCTTTAGTGGCATTCCGCGGGTGAGAGAGTAGGCATGCCTTTATTCACTTTAAATGATAACCGAACAAGAAAGTAACAACCCTTTAATATCCCTTGTTGACAGCATTTTCTATAAAGATAGGGTAAAAGTACTATCCAACCACTCTGGGTACGGAATAGAAATTTGGCAAACATTTTATTATCTTTTGTTTGAAGTTGAAATGAAAGATCTCCAAGAACTCAAGAAATAAGAAATCTTCACAATGTCACCCTATAAAGGACGAATTTCGTACGTTTATCCATGAACCTTCTCGCTCAACTGTCATGCAGACTCTTGCTTTCACTTGAAGTACAATCTGAAATATTGTCTGAGCAAAGTAAAAAGTTTTTTGAATTTTTTCCATTATTTCTTTCCATAGAATTGGAATAGCAACCTCAAAATGGTGTTATATTGTTAGTCTTAGAATGTCTTTGCGTTGATATAATATAATACAGTGTTGTAACCTATTTTTGTGGATATAAGGATTGAACACCGAATTTCGTCAAAGTTAAAAAAACAAAAAAAAAATTTTGTGTCTTAGATGTTTCCTCAGATATTCTACAAAATAATTAAAATTGGTTTATTTCGATTTTCTTTATGAATCCTTCACTTTGACCCATATTTCATGAGCAACCAACTCGGCAACGGCGGCAGAATGCGTCACCTATTTTCGTGTACAATGTTTGATCTATAAATAAGTCTAGAAAAACACGTTGTATGGATACCAGGTGGTATAATTAACTTCTCTTAGTATTTATCTTTAATATCAATTCATTATAACTAGTGACAATTCCTTCAAAGAACCACGATTTAAAAAAAAAAATAGTGACTGACAAAATAAGATACGTAGCGTGATTTATTGCTAAAAGTCACTGAAACAACAAAAGAATATGATCCACTTTGTGTTCCATAGAAATTTTGTGCTGACACGGAATCCGCTAGTTGATCACATGACTTCAGTCGTTGGACTACCGGTACATTCTAGCAGACGACACTTGGAATTCCGATTACCGCTTGGGATTATAAGGAAATTCGGCTGATAAAAAATGGTGACGTTTGCTAAAAACTGAAATCCGCCATTTTGTATTTGTCAAAGTATACATTAATACATTTTACCTTGCTTGAAACTACTGGATTCATTCTACTAGCTGATATTGTACAGAAAACCCATGTTTATCAAAACAAACTAATGCAGAGGTCGCGTAAGGTCGCTCATGTAAATTATTAATCCTTTCCGGAATTCCACGAATAATAGGTTTCCACGAAATTAGGTGATGTATTTATATGCCCACATGGAAATGCAATCACCCCTGTCTGTCTGTCAACATTTTTTGCGAGCACAATGGAGACTATAGTTTTTATCTGAATTAAATGATATTTGGTGTGATCATAATATTGATGAGATCATGGACAAGTTTATATATCATGATTTTTTGATGAAAGGTTTTTAAGTTATTTCCCTTGACTTAAAAATATGTGTCAAAGTTTGTTTGTGAACACAATAGAGACAACAGTTTTCTTCTGATTTTTATGAAATTTGGGGTGATCATAAACATTGATGAGATCTTGGACAAGTTCAAATTTGAAATTTTTTCGATGAAAGGTTTCTAAGTTATTTTCCTGCACACTTAGTCAAACCACATCAAAATTTATTTGTGAACACAATAGAGACTAAAGTTTTCATTCGATTTAAATGGAATTGAATGTAATTATATATATTGATGAGATCTTGAACAAGTTCTTATTTGAAGATTTTTCGATGAAAAGTCAAAAACTTGGGCTGAAAATGTGCCTCTGTAAAAACAAATTTTGAAGACATTATGTGTGGTTCTGTTTATATTTTTATCAATACAAAGACATTTTAAGACTAACAGTACTATTTTGAGGCTGACATTCTAATTCTCATAAAAATAATAGAAAAAATTCAAATTTTTTTTTACAAAGACAATATCAATTTTGCTGTTATGTCAGCAGCAAAATGTCATTGATGAAAGTCTTAGACTGAGCATGCACTTGAGAGTTTTATAGCACAGCTAATTATCATATTTTGTTTAACAATAAGTTATCAATTATCTACCTTGATCAAAGCTGGATTTTGTCTTAATTCCGAGTTGCAGTCATAAAGTTAAAAAATAAAGACTACAGCCTGACTAAAGGAGTCCAAATATGTCATGTGATGAGGACTTCCTACTTTAACATAGTTGTTGATGAAATAATGTTTGTTTAGGTTTAGAAACCAGAATAGTAAAAGGAATGTAGGAATATTTTGACCTACCTAAAATGATTAAAATCAGTTTTATGCCTTTAAGAAACAATCCCATTATTTGGTTTATCGGTTGTCAAGGGGATGTATCGAAGGCTAATGGAAATGACCCCAAACTATTCAAAGAAGAAATAAATTGTAAATTGTGGGAATTACACGAAGTAACTTACAGTTCCGAATGTTTTTATACCATACTAGAGTATTGCTGTAAAACTGACAAATCACCAAACCTTATTATTGGTCAACTAGTCTAGCCCCAGTGTTTAAACTATTGAATATTTTTTAGGTTTAGTGACAGATGAATCATCACAAATAAAGATGTCTACCAAATTAAAACAAAAACACCTGTTGGTGTTTAAACAGAATCTACAAGATAAAGTGAAAGAATTAAAACAATTAACCGGAGTTGTTGATCATTATTTATCTGATGTCCAACAGGTATTGTGTAATTGCGAATATAATGAACACCCTCTCTACTTACCCTACTGTATTTCAGGAAAAAATCTGTCGCTTTAAATTCATATCCTGTCCTAGTCCGAAACATCTGCCTTTATTCCATCCTCTGATGGATATTTTGACAGTTGTCAGCTGGAGTAGAGTCAAAAACACAAAACACTGTTGAATATATCTTGGTTTTTCAGATCTGAGGTATCTAAATAGGTATAAACCTTGCACCTGCGAAACTTCCTCATTTAACATGGCCTATTATTTCTGTCTCTACACCAGCCGAATAGCTATCAATTGCTGGTATAGAGACAGATGTTTCAGTCAAATCGTGTCTAAGGAAAAAGTCAAAGTTAAAGTTAAGTCGCAAAATCGTACATTAGTATATTAGATTCTCTCTATTGAATGTAATGTCGTTGTAACTGCCTTATTGTGGCTTGCTTGTGTTATAATCTGAATTCAGAGTTAAAAGATAAAACTAAAACTACTGGTTGAAAAAAGTATCTTTGATTGACTTGATGTGTTTTGGGGATTATGAGTAAGCTTACTGCAAAATTTGTTTACATCATTTCACTTCAAATACTATCACAATCTTTGTTTCATCTCTTAAAGTTTTGTATAAAGAGATCAATATGTAAACTTAATATATTTCCCTTCAGGCATGTAAAACAGCAGAAGAACTTACTCAGTCAGATGAAATCAGAAAAATCAAGAAAAACTATCAAAAAACTATGCATTTATTAGATCAGCATTATTATAACTGTACCTTATTAACAGCTACCATAGAAGAATTTAATGGTAGGTCAATCATTTTTACCTCACCAAAATGAATGAAATCATTCACTTATTCATGCTATTTCTTATATCATATCTCTTTGACCTAAAAGGGTTCAAATCTGGAATGGAAAATGTGTTTTTTTGTAGTGGTATAGGTCAATGAATGATGCCACAGTAAGTGCTTTTGAAAGTTTATCATGCCTCTCTCACTAAACAGCATACAAATTATGATTCTGTACAAACTGTCCTGTGGTGTCATGTGACAGGCCTAATTTGATCATATAGATGGTGTGTCTCCATTTAACAGAAAATTTTGTAAAAATGTCATTGTAGAAAACTCTGACAGTTCAGCTGAAAATTCACCATTGCCTTCTGTTGCTGATGTTACTACCTGTGATGAAAGTGATATGGATAAATCTATACTAGATAGACAAACCATTTCGACTGTACATGTTGGGATGATTAGAGTTACTGAGTTAACAAAACCTACAGAAAAACCAGAAGAATTGCCCTCAAGTAGAGAACAATTACCATTCTCTAATCAATCCATGGTACATGACAACATTTCTCATGTCAATCAGTTAGATAAATCATTAAACTGTGATACTTCATCTCAAATAGAGACAATTCCATGTCAGAATGTTTTATCTCTGATTAGGAATGTTAAGGTTCCAACAAATGATAGCATTTTATCTGACAATTACTCTTCAAAAAACCAGTCTCTTTGTGATCCTATTCAAAAGCGTGTTCAGACATTTTCAACTATTCTGGAAGAGAAACAAATTCTGTGGGTTGATGCTGAACCATCAGTGTGTAAGGACAAAGTGAAATTAGATCTGAATTCAATAAATGAACGCTATGGAGATACTTATACAGTTCTATCTTGTGGTGAAGATGCTTTAGATTTTGATAATGTTCCTTGTTCAAGTCCAATTAAATTACGTGATACGCAAAGTAAATCTACCATAACAACCTCATCAACAGAACCTCAGAATTCTAAGATTGTTCCACCAGAGATCCGTACAGTGCCTTTATTGCAACCAATCAAACCTCAGGACTCAAATCTTTCACCTACAGTATTTGAAGAAATTCATCGTGACATAACTCATCCACCATTTTTAACACAGTCTGCAGAGGGTGAAGAGCTCTATTTATCCAACCCTGATTTAGCAGACATTCCATCATCAAATCAGACAGACGTTGAACAAAATAATACTATAACCACTTCAACATATCAGAACATTACCACTGAAAGTCAAAGTATGCAATTAAATTCAGCAATTTTACCAAATCAAAACTTGAGTAATACTAATCCATTCATACCACACATCTCTAATAGAGACAGTCATTCAGATATAGGTTCTGTATCAAGTCACATGACTGGTGATGGAGAAGACAATCCAATGAATTATGGATATCTTTACATGAATCCTGGAATGATGCCTCCAATTCCCTATCTTCCTGCTGCATACATATCTACCCCTTATACATCTAGTGTAGAAGGTGGGTGTCTGTCTGTTGATCAGAAATTAAGTAATGACCAGAATACTACTGTTATGAAGGAACATTCACCAGAATCTAGCAGTATTTTACAGACTGGTTCATCACAGTTTTCAGATGTGACAGATTCAGAGAGGAAATCTGCTAAATCTAATGATGAAAAAAATGTGTCTCCTCAACTTGAGACATCCTCAGAAACAAATGAATCCAAATCTAGTACCACTCAACTTAGTTCAACTACCAAAAGATTTTCAAAGCCTGGAACAAGACCCAAAAGAAATACTCCTGGCAGTAAGAAGTCTGCAAGAGCCAAATTAGCATCTAAAATAAATGCTTGTCTTGAAAATTCTCGTCAGAAATTAGGCATTGATGTAAGAAAAGGTATTGGGCTAGATTCAGATCAAGATTCAGTTAAAACAGACCCAAGAACAACCACAACTGGTAGTGAGCAGTTGAACACATCATTAGAAAAGTTAATCACTGAAGAACTATCTGATGGGTTAATATATTCAAGTGCTGCCAGTGATTGTGATGTTAAAGCAAGTACCACCAAGGTCCAGCTTGATACTTCAATTAGTGCTATGGATACAGAGTATTTACTTGGACCTGAGATACAATATTTCCAGCTAATAGAAAACAAAACATGTCATGTTATGGTTTGTGAATTGAATTCCCCATGGTCATTTTACATTCATCCATATAGTAAAGCACTTGATGGGCTCAAGACTCAAATTCAGTAAGTTAATGTGATTCTATTTTTTCTAACAGTCTAATTCAGAACATTTATATAGTTATTGATAATCTTTTAAAGAAATACTTGATATTATGCTAGCCTGTGACTATCTATCCTGAAACATCTGCCTTTATTCAACAAATCACCACGAAACAGGACCTATTTTTTCTGTCTACACCAGCCCACAAATTTAAAGTAGCCATAAGAGGCTGTAAAAGAGGTAGATGTTTGGGTCTAGTATTATCATAAATGGATTTTACACACTGAGTGAGAATGAGCAAAATTATGACAACTTGTTAACAAGATGTTTCATAGTCAACATACAGATGTGTTTACACTTCAGGGAATATATATCAAGATATAAAAGTGAGAAGAAACTTATTGTTATAAAAAATATGATATGTTTAGCTAAATTTAGAGTTGATTGTAACTATTATAGAGCTAGAATCAGAGATTTTAAAGGCAAGTTTAATTAAAGTTACATTTTCATTCTTTTTTTTATATTCAGTAACAACAGTAAACCAATGTTTGAAAGCAGGTTTAATTAGATGTAAACCTTTAAAATTGACAACTAACGGTACCTTCATTTTCATATTGATAAAGATATATTTTTAAGTGTAAATGATAAATATTTTTGATATCTTACCATGGTATTTTTTACATAATTTTTCTTAGAGTTACAGTACAACTCTTTAATTCCCATATCTTATTGAACCTAAGATTTTAATCATTAATTTTAGAAAATAAGATTTCTGTACAATTTATTGATTATGGAAATAAGGAAGAGGTCATGATCTCTGACCTACAACCTTTGACAGAAGATTTAGCTAAATTACCTGCTCAAGCTGTTCTATGTGCTTTATCAGGGGTAAGTTATAATATATATTGTCTACTTTTAGAAATGAATATTGTGTTCAGTGGTCATTTCAATATATTGGTCAATCATTGGTGTAAATTTTATTGTATACAATTATTGATCTGTCTAATATGTTTGAAGTGCTATAGCTGATCAAAGATATTTTTACACAGCTGGGACATAAATTGTTTTCTTACACTCTTGCACTGAAATATGTATATATAAACTCTTTGTATATAAATGTATGTATATGAAAATTTCAATAAAGCAGTTTCTCTGGAAGTCATTGGAGTTTACTAACCATGCGTTATGGGTAGAAATCATATATGTTATAATCCAACAAGTGATATAAACATTACTTTTCTAGCCAGGAAGTGCATTAATATCCATCCTGGCCATAGGCAGTATTGATGCTTTTATTGGGTGAAGAAATAGAGTTGATTCCCTTTGACTGATTATTAAAGTTTTGAGTCTTATATGATGCATAAAGAATTCTGTGGATATTGTTTTATAAAGATATTCTTGGAAAAGTTGACTTTGAACAGAAAGATATTGCAATGTCCTACTTCTGTTTCGACAAATTAGTGACTTAAAACTGTAGGTTTTTTTGTCATGCAGACTGTATTTGAACAGTTTTCAAGCTATTTTTATAACATTTGGCATAATTAGTATTCAGTAATATAGAATTCCTGGATTGGATGATATTATGTTTTAAGATCAGTAACAATCTTTAAATCAATTTCTTTTCAGTTGGCACCAGTTGATCCTGGTAGAACATCATGGACAGAAGATGAGATCAATTCCATGACACTGAATGTTCAGAATCAAATGTTACTGTGTAAACCAGTATATTGTAGTAAATCATCTCATTTTCCTAATTTAGTAGATGTATCATTATTGATGTACCCCAATACACCAAATACACCGTGGAATGCCCCTTTTGGTAATATCAACCTCAGTGCAGTTATGATAAAACAGAGAATGGGCCGTTTTGTTCCCATCTCTGAACAATTAAGCTCACTGAGAATCATGTTTAAAGACTATCTACTACCATCTGATGAAACTGATCATGAGAAAACATTAGTTAATCAGAGGAGTGAGAGTTTAGATGAAAAACAGTCAACTGAAAGTGGGTTTGCATCTTCTGCATCTCCCATTTTCAATGTTTCATGTCAGAATTTGACTCCAGTGGAGAAGGAAGCCATATCTGAATCCTCAATCAAGGATTTGTCCAAAACTGTGACATCAACTTCTGATAAATCTAACATCAAATCTCAGGATGTCACTCAAAAAGTAGATAATTTGAACCACAATCCTCTAGAAAAATGTGATAACTATTTAGATCAACAAAAGAAGTCCACAAACAGCAAGATTGAATGTAGATCTCAACCAACTAGTTCAATTATGACAGATATGAAAAATACTAATGTTAACACTGCTACAAATCAAACTGAATTACAGAATACAGACATTGTTTCATCAACTTACGTTGGACAAAAAGAGAATGATCCGAATGTTCGTTTTAATGTTCTCATGGCTCATATCAATACTCCAGGAGATTTTTATGTTCATAAAGTTTCCATAGAAAATGGTAAAAATATGGACAAACTGATGAAGGACATTAATCAGAAATTCTTCGCTTATACAAAGAAACGTTTGGAACAATTAAGTCGTGATTTTTTACCCAGAGTCAATGATTACTGTTGTGCAAAATTTAAAGATGGCAACTATTATAGGGGAAAAGTAGTGGAGTTGATCAACAAATCAGACATTAAATCTAAACAGAAGAAACATGATGTAGTGGTATTCTACATTGATTTTGGTGATAAAGAAACAGTTCCTTTAAGTCAAGTTTACCCTCTACCTAAAGAGTTTACCATACTACCTCCACTTGCTCTATGGTGTTGTTTATCAGATATTAAACCTCAAAAAGATCAGGTTGCTTGGCCTACTGTATCAACTGTTGTGTTAAAAGAACTATGTATTGACAATGGTAATTCTGATAAGATGTTGTCTGTTACTGTGGCTAGCGAAAACATCCCACCAACAGGAAGGTGAGTTTTAATGACAAATTTAATTAATTTAAATTAATAAGGGCTTATAATGGTCTCATCTGATTGTCTTTTTATATGCTCATATGGAAATGTGGACGTATATTGCTGTCGCCCCTGTTCGTTGGTCTGTTGGTCTCTTGGTCCCTCAACATTTTATGTGAACACAATAGAGACTACAGTTTTTATCTGATTTGAATGAAACATGATGTAATAATGTATATTGATGAGATCTTGGTCAAATTCAAATTTGACGAGTTTTTGATAAACAGTTTTGGGGTTATTGCCCTTGATGCTTCAAAATTTGTTTGTGACAACAATAGGGAGTTTTTAACACAAGAATTGGGGGGGGGGGGGGGTATATTGCTGTCACCCTGTCTGTCGGGCTGTCCGTCTGTCCGTACAATTCTTGATTGATTTCTATGAAACTTTGTATGGTTGTTTTGAATCACCCAAGGATGAACCCTATTGAAAATCAAAAAAATCGAAATATATTTCTTATGAGTTATTGCCCTTGTTTTTAAAAAGCTCGTAAACACTCTAAATGTGCAATTCTTGACAAATTTTGATGAAACTTTGTAATAGTATTCAGTATCGTCTCAAAAGGTTCAAAAGAAGTGTATGTCTGAATGTTTAATATTTCTTACTGGTACTTGTAACTGCCAAATATTTTTATTTAAAATCAAAGCTGCCAGTGGGCGTATATTACATTGCCTTGCAAGCTATCTTAATGAAATTTGGTGTGATCATTTATATTGATGAGATCTTGGACAAGTTTGAACTTGATGATTTTGTGGAATTACTCAGCATAAATAACTGTCAGTAAATATATATATCATTGAATTCAAACTGATAAAATTTCTATAATATGAGAAAATTCAGACTTTAGTCACTGAAGACTGTTTTATCATTTCTGACAGCTGCTAGTGGCTGTATGTTACCTTGCCTGGCAAGCTATCTTTTTGCAATCTCAGCAATTTCTTATGCAACCTTATATGTAAAAAGAAGCAAAGTGGGAAGGGGTGAAATGGAGAAGGGGCAAACAGGAATGGGTGAATTGGGAAGAGGCTAATTTGGAAGGAGAGTTATGGGAAGACGCGATATTTACCAATAATGTTTTGGAAAGTCATTTGGAATAAAACTTCATTTTGGATCCTGGCAGGTTTCGACAAGCACAAGCAAGCACTGTTTGTCTTTCATATTTTGCAGTGAACAGACAATACCACTACCAGTCTATCTTGTAGACATAAATCATAAAGAAGAAATATGCTTTAATCTAGAATTAATCAGACTAGATTGTGCTCAACTTAATACTAAACCTACTACATCACCATCATCTCATAAAGGTTTGTTGTTTTTTTTTCTTTAATTTTCTCATTTTGAGAGTCTGAATTTGTATCAGTTGTTAAAATACTCTTGACATTTAATAATGATTGAGCTGAAATATGTGTAGACATTACTATTTATACGAAGTTCAATAGAGATGGATTTGAATTTCAGAGGTTTTCCCAATGTATCGGAGATTATACAAACATGGTCGAAGGTGAGAAAAATTTTGAAAAATGTCATTATATATTTCAGATGAAGTTGTTCCTGGTAATTGGAATCCCATGGCAGAAGATTTTCGTTCTATAAGAAATAGTTACAAGATCAATATAGATGATCCTAGTGTGGCTTCTATAGGTTATAGTAAGTTATCTTTATTTTATCATTTGTTGAATTCTTTCTTTAGCCAATTAACTGAATATAATTTGTGGTGAAATATTACAGGATTATAACAAGTGTAATATATGATTTTTGGGAAACAGACCATAAATATATGATGTCTCTTTCAAAAGAGTGATAAACTGTGTATCTAAACTTTTACATAGAGAAATTACTAGTGGTCTGAAGTATAAAAGTAAATACAATGATTTAAATCATAAATAATAGATATACGTAATGAGTGCTTGGTTATAATAGCTTCAGGTTATCTATATATTGACCAGAATTGATTTACAATAAACTGAGATAATGGATTTATATCATTAAAATATATATGTATATCATATCAATTGTTATATCCTGCTGTGTCACCAATTATTTAGAATATCATATACAAATATAACAATATAATGGTGAGTTGCAGACCATGTTCAGATTGACTTGTTGCCTTTAACAGGATTAATTTCTACTTATTGAATTGATTTTTTGAAAGTTAAAACGTACATATAAAACGATAATATTGATGTGTCAAACGAATTAGTGTTTTTGTAGGGCATTCATTCATTCATTCATTCATTCATTTATTGATTCATTCATTCATTCATTCATTCATTCATTCATTCATTCATTCATTCATTTCCAATGCCATTCATTCATTCCTTTCCAATGCCATTCAATTACATTCAATTCCATTCAATTCATTCATAAACTTTGTTAAATAATGTGCTAACATCTACCGCACTGTGAAGTCTTTAATGCCCATTTGCTTCTATTGACTAGGCTCAATTGTGTTTTGGAATGAAGAGTCAACAAAATAAGTTTATACACTTCAAATTTCTACATTTAACAAAAGCACTATTGAACGCTTTATCAACAAAATAAAAATCTAAATACATTGATATACAGTCTTCAATTGTTAAATTGAAACTTATTTGTTTTAATAATGTATAAGTCCTGGCCAATATTTAATTAAATATTTCAGAATATTTTTGAAGAATTAATTTAAATGCTGAAATTCAGCTCATGGCTATATGTTACCATGGCAACCACTTCTTTTTTATTTAATATTAATATAGATTATCTTTAAATCAATATTTTACATCTATCTTGATTGATTTTATATTCTAATATTTCATGTCAGACTTTCTCTCATTAGTACAGAGGTGTTCAAATATATAAGAAATCATTAAGAACTTTCTTGTATTTTTAAATATGCTCACAGACTCAGTTTTTTAAACCAAATTTGATAAAACTTGGTATGATAATGGGAAACGTTTGTGCTCCGGAATACTAACTGGCAGTCAACAACTACATGGAACTGGCAGCATCTAGGAGTATCTCTAGTTAGCTAAATGCAGTACTGACCATTGTAACAAATATAGTTGAATATGTCACAGAAATTATAGATTAGATTTGATTAAGTAGGTTTAAGGGGACAGGTGCTCCATTTTTTTGACCAATCATACTTTATTCTCAGAAACAGGAATCTTTTAGCTAAGGTAATCAGTTAAAGTGTTCAAATCTCACCGGTGAAATTTGGGCCTTCAAATACATGTGTCTCCAGAATTATCCACGATTGAATGTAAAAATGATAACTCGTCAATTTAAGATACTCTGTGAAAAGAAAAGACATATTTAGGAAAAGTGAGTAAAATTCCTAGTTTGAAATATTTTTAAAGCGATTTTCTTACACTAAATGGTTTTTTTCCTACACCCTGTATAAGATTAGGCAAATGTTTCATATTAGTACCAGTATGTGGAAGGGAAAAGAAACAAACCTACAAGTGGGTGTCATTTTTCTCATTATTACAAGATACTGTTTAATCTATAAAAATCATATATTAGTTCTTGATGATGTTAAAAAGTTATTGTCTCTAGTTGTAATATTGTGATATTTATTGTGATCATTGAAAGGTGATTTGGTTCAAATCAATTTGGTTGATATCACCAAGAGATTTTATTGAGCGATTTATCTAATTCTGAAACATAATCAGATTTCCATCCTATATATTTTCTATAATTAGTTGTTAAATCGTGACAACCAATTCTTCTCACCTTTCTCCATTATTTGTTTCAGCAAGAATCCCTATTTCAATATCTCTCTTGTTCAGTTAGAAGATCAATTGATGTATATAAGGGATGGGTTTTATGATATTGATAGCTATTGATTTGATATATATAACATGTAATAACCTAATTATTTCCTTTAGAACATTGTATAGTATCTATTTTACACTTCTTGTATATATATAGATAGATATATTAACATATCAATTACTTCTTTAATATACTTTATTTCATCTTTTTATCATATTCTCTTACATCTTAATCAATAAGACTGTGTAAAATCAGGTCAGGTGAAAATGTGATTGTCAAAGCAAAGTTGTGCACATAATACAAAGACCAAATGAAAATACACTACAATATTTCTACCTTTATATTTAGGTAACTTGAATAGTAATGCATACAGTATATGCTTGGTTTGAATTGTTATCTTTTCAATTTGACATGTTCAGAAACAAAATAGACGTATTCTTTTGTTTCTTGGCTCTTTTTCAATGTGTATGTATGTTTACAGACCCTTTTCTGTATTTTTTTTCTATAAAAGTTTATTAAGAAAATCTTTCACAGTGGAGTGATGTCAAAATAAGATTATGAAGTACAAAATTATCAATAAAAACAGTTGTGTTAATTAATTCAAACTAAAATTAAGATAGAAATAAAACATGTATAAATATATTTTACAGTAAGATATCAAATTTGAACTTGGTGCCAGAAGAAAGGAAATGTAAAAATAAACTAGATATACATTAGATGTATAGTAAGAAATACATTCAACTTGGTTATACAATACTATTATTTCATAAGGACATCCATTTATTGAAACTTTTGGTAATGCTTTTGTTGTACTGATAAACAGGATTTTTTGACTATAAATAGTTACAATCAAGGTTGATTAAATCTTCTTCTCTATAAATGAGAGTGTGAAGCTGTGTAGAATCCTCTACATAGAATTTTCAGTACCAATAGACAAACAGTATCATCCACTAATGGAATAAATGTACAAAAAAATGATTGAGAAAGGTATTATTTGGACACTGACTTCTGTAACAGGCTAGCTAGGATTGGCCTAGACTGTCAAAATATCTGAGATCAGAACATAAATTTTCCAGACTATGAACCAATATATAATAAAGGCTTATTTACTTTGATGCACATGAAATGTCTTTACATAAAGACCACCCCCAATCTGTCAGGCGATTATCAATAACAATTTAACAATGAATACAATTATGTAATTATATCAACCTGTATAGGAATATGACTAAGTTATTACAGGATTACATTATATGTATTGTGTAATAAGAGTATTTTATCAAAATTCTCTATTGATTTATCAATATTTATTATGAAATGTAAACAATTATCAATTTCATATATAATTCTAATATTTAGACTGTAATTTTGTCAGACGCTAATTGATTTCATGTCATCTGCCAAGTTTTTAGACATCAATATAAATGTTCTCTTTCACTTTGTATTTGTCCTCATATTCACAAATGGATGATGTAAATGCATGAATATAGCTTATTGTCAGGCAATGACATTAGTATCGCTTTTGTACTTAAAAGATATAAAGATAAAAATAAGATTCAGTTTTGATCTGATTTGATTTCATTGCTTTTTCACCAAAAACTTGTTGCCACTTACATACTTCCCAACTAGTTAGTTGAATAGCATTTTCTTTTTGGAAACATAGTCACATAAACAACAACAGTCCGATATTTTCTAATGGAGGAACGAATGACATTTATACACTTGTATAACAACAACAACAACAACAACACTCCAATATTTTCTAATGGAAGAACGAAAAACATTTTTACACCTGTATAACAACAACAACAGTCTGATATTTTCTAGTGGTAGAAAGAATGACATTTATACGCTTGTATAACAACAACACTCCGATATTTTCTAATGGAGGAACGAATGACATTTATACACTTGTATAACAAAAACAACAACACTCCGATATTTTCTAATGGAAGAACAAAAAACATTTTTACACCTGTATAACAACAACAACAGTCTGATATTTTCTAGTGGTAGAAAGAATGACATTTATACGCTTGTATAACAACAACACTCCGATATTTTCTAATGGAGGAACGAATGACATTTATACACCTGTATAACAAAAACAACAGTCTGATATTTTCTAGTGGTAGAAAGAATGACATTTATACGCTTGTATAACAACAACACTCCGATATTTTCTAATGGAGGAACGAATGACATTTATACACCTGTATAACAAAAACAACAGTCTGATATTTTCTAGTGGTAGAAAGAATGACATTTATACGCTTGTATAACAACAACACTCCGATATTTTCTAATGGAGGAACGAATGACATTTATACACTTGTATAACAAAAACAACAACACTCCGATATTTTCTAATGGAAGAACAAAAAACATTTTTACACCTGTATAACAACAACAACAGTCTGATATTTTCTAGTGGTAGAAAGAATGACATTTATACGCTTGTATAACAACAACACTCCGATATTTTCTAATGAAATTACACTTTACAACAACAACAATAGTCCGATATTTTCTACAAAAACAACAACAACTGTCCGATATTTCTAGTGTTAGATAGTTAGATGAACATAGTCTCATGAAACCAATGGTCTAGGTCACAAAGCAAAGATTTATGATAAAACAAGGTACAAAAAGGTTAAGATAAATAGATAGGTTAACTATGGATGTATCTGTAATACTATCTGTGGTACTATCATTTTTTCAACTGAAATAGCCAAAAATATAAGAATCAACCTTCTTCTGATAGCCTTTAACAAAATCTTTTCATGTACCTGTAAGAAAATAAGCATTAATATGCATAATCATTGTAGGAAATACAAATGAAAGAAGTCAGATATTTTAAGACTAATGAGGGTTAAGTCTACCATGGACTAGGATATTGGTCGGGTTGGTTAAAGTGATTGGAAATTGGTCTATTTTTGCCATCTACTATATCATAATGATGGCCGTTAAAACGAGTTTGCAATGCGTTCTTTGCTTCTCTAATATACTGTAATTCACATTTTTGTTTACATGGAATTAGGTAAATGAGATATTTTCTAGTGGTACAAGGAATGACATTTATACACCTACATAACAACAATAGTTTATAATATTGTAACCATTTCCATATAAAATTAGATTGCCATTACCATATACCAGGAAAGGTCTGGAGATAAAGATAAATTTGGTGACTTTTGTTACCATGAATTTGTCAGTCAATATTGATTCTTGTATGTTTTTTGCTGGTATTACTACAAAAAACCATTTAAATATGTATTTCCGGAAGAACCAACCAGATGAGATATACTACCAGAAATATCATGACAACCAATGCCAACTACAAATTTCTGTGTGATTAAATTCTGTATAATTTTAAATAATATTAATTAGAAAATTAGAAGTATTAGAAGAGTTATTTATCTGAAAGTAACATTGACATTATGATAAAATTAGGAATTATGTAATCCTTATTAGATGGTAGTTGAACAATAATGTGGTATTATAGAATCTTTTTTCATATGACAGTTATCAAAAGACTGTCACTAGAGCAATGCACTAATTACCCTTTTAATTATTAAGCATTTGCTCATGATTATCTACCGGCAATTATTACTAATATATATGTGTGGTGAAATGTTGAAAAAAAAGAATATTTTCAGGTTTTATACTGTAAATAGCCTTATTAACCTACTGTAACAGTGTAATTAGGTATTGAGCTGTCAACTACTACCAGGTGTAGGGACTATTTTTAGATTTCAGATTGTCAAAATATTACTGAATAATATATTAGAAGACATTTTTATTACCAGTGTGTCCTGGAGGATTTTGACATGTTTTTGTTTATTCACTTGGTGGTTTACTTAAATCTTGAACATTCACTGTTGTTTAAGGGTTTGTGCTATGTAAAAATATTAATAAAACATAATCAGCTATTAAAAATCGTTAATTTATTGTCATGATAATTAGTTTATTATACCACATTATTTCAAAATATTATTTTTCAGAATAGACATGAATTTATGAGATGAAAACGTCCAACACCAACAAACAACTAATGAAGTTGATAATTTCTGTATTGATTGTATTGATATAGAGACTATAAATTAAGTTTTCATGATAGATTAGAGTTGAAACGGAAGATACTTATCAACCTTGTTATTGTGTTCACCACCTTGTTTATATCAGGTGTCAAAAAATGTTCCATAGTTCGACGGAATGTATTGGTGCATTGGTAAACTGATGTCTTTCAAGATGTTGTTATCCAACCCTGAAAATATGAAAGTCATCGAATAAGAATTGTACAAGTACTGCCCTGAACAAAATATCATGTCAAAAAATGCAATTTCAAGGCAACTATTTCAACCTATGTTCAATGTGCCCTCCATCTTCTTAACCTTTTCCTTAAGAGAATCCCAAATGGCATTATCCATTGGATTACAGCATTGGGATTGGGACGGCCAGCCATTCTTGTGAATAAATTCAGGTCTAGCCTCATCCATATATGTTTGGGATACTTTGCTAGTATGCGATGGGGCATCTTGGGATGGAAACAACGGTTGCGATTGGTGGTGGAAGAATATGGAGGGCACAATGAACACAGGTTGAAATGGTAAGTTGCCTTGATATTACATTTTTTGACATGCTGTTTTGTTTTGGGCAGTACTTGTACAATGTTTATTCAATGAGTTTCATATTTTTAGGAATTTTAGGTTGTAACATTGGGGTTAAGCAATGTTACGAAAGCAAAGGCACAGGCATGTAGGCGTAACCTCTAGTGATAGAGCAATGCTTGTTAGTTTAAAAGAATGTTATAGAATATTTGGTTAGACATCTTGAAGTATATCTGTGAGAATTTTTAAAGAGATCAGTTTACCAACAGCTAAGATACTACCCGTCTAACTTTGGGATGTTTTTTATGGGACATATTAGGTGTCAAATTACATAATGGGTTGGTATATCAAAATACCTTGCAATTGATTGGTAACTATTGTCTATGATGATAGAATTTAGCGCTCTTTTCCACCAGGCTGTGATAATCTCATGTTTCAGGTCCAGAACAGATCATTTACATATTAATTTTTAGAAAAGGTGTTGTATTCAGGGATTATTTTACTTTCAAAAAGTTCAATATGTAAAAAGCTTTAGAAATATAATCCATTGCAAAAGCAACCTGAAACAATAATTAATGCAAATATCAAAGAAAAAAATATCTTTTGACAGAAAATGTGTTTTTCCTCAAAATAACATTTTACATTCTTTCTGTTCGTGGACATAATCAAGCAATATGATTTTAAATGTGATTTCTGCAATATTCTGAATACCCAGGAACTCTAATAGATGAAAATATTTGCCATAGCAAAATAATTACTAAGTTCAAAGTTCTAGTTACCTAGTCTTACCTTGTTCTGGGTATGTTCATGATGGCCGTGTCCTACTTATTTCAGGGGATGATTTGTAAAAAGTATTCAGAAGTAGAAATATACGTAAAATTGCATAATTCCTTCAAAAATACCTCAAACCAGACATTTTAGTTTCTTTATTTAAATATGTCTTTTTATACGCCCACATGGAAATGTGGAGATATATTGCCGTTGCCCCTGTAGGTTTGTCCACATTTCTTCTAGAGACTACAGTTTTTATCTGATTTTAATGGAATTTGGTATGATTTATATTCATAAGATCTTGGTGGAGTTGGAATTTGATGATTTTTCAAATTACGGTTTTTGAGTTATTACTCTTGACTTAGTGAAAGTGCCTCAAAATTTGCTCATAAGTGCAATAGAGACTACAGTTTTTATCCAATTTGAATGGAATTTGGTGTGATTATTTATATTTAAGACATCTTGGTCAAGTTCGAATGTGATGATTTTTGGATTAATGATTTTGGAATTATTGCCCTTGACTTGAAAAACAAGTCATAAAATTTTGCATCTGATATGAATGAAATTTGGTGTAATCATTTATAAGTTATAAGTTCAAATTTGCTGTTTTTTTGATTAACAGTTTTTTTAATTATTGCCCTTGACTTGATAAAAATGTGTCAAATTTGCTGGTGAGCACAATAGAGTCTACAATTTTCATCCGATTTGAATGAAATTTGGTATGATCATTTGTATCGATGAGCACTTGGACTAGTTCAAATGTTACGATTTTTCGATCAACAGTGTTTGAGTTATTGCTGTTGACATGTATAAACAAGTCAAAAAAATTGAGCACAATAGATTTCATCTGATTTTAATGAAATTTGGTATGTTCATTTATATTGATGAGAATTTAGTGAAGTTTGAATTGGATTTTACGATGAAGGGTGATTGCTATTTATCGAAAATTATTTTCAAGAAAAGACTAGTCATTTTATTAACTTTTAATGCAGATAATTCTGTACACACATGGATTTCAAGCCTCAAATTTCGATGCTGAGCTGTGAACACTATTACTGATTAACTTGTTTCTGAGACTAAGGTAAGATTGGTCAAACAGATGGCAAATCTGTCCCATTCATGTGTCAACTAATGACATATTTTTTATCCAGATTTTAGATTAAGCTTTTTGTTTTTGGAATTCGACCAGCAAGTGATATGTAAGTAATGATTGGATCATACTAATGGATACATTGTATTGACAAATTCCAGTTCACGTCTGTTATATTGATAGCTGAAATAGAAATGTGTTCACTCTAGTAGATATAGCCTAAATTTGTCAGTTTTGTTTGGTGAATAATAATTATTAAGAGTTTTATATTTATATTCATTTGACCCTGTATATAATCAAACAGTGAATGGTGTTTTATACATAACAAATGTGGATTGCACAAGCCCTTTCTTTGAGATGTGTTTTGAATTACTTCCTCTTGTCTCATTAAAAAGAAATAGATACAGATACAGACAAATTAGATGTTTACAAACAACAAAGCATTATCAAAAATAGAAGTGCTTTATTAGATAACATTTTTCTTAGAAAAATGCTGATCTTTATAATACAGTTATTTCAACTTGATGTGACTGAATACCTGAAGACACAACAGTATTTAAAGTAGCTCTAGAATCACTTATCAAATTATCATTACTATTCGTACTACCAATACGACTAATTGGACCATCGTAAGTCATTGCATCATCAGATTGATCAGAATTGATAGGACTATTATTAGTATACACAGTAGGAATGCCGTTTGTTCGAACTCTGTGTGAGGTTTTCATCAAACGTGATACTCCGCGTGATAAGTTTTGAATCACTGATTTGATTTGAGCAGTTCTATAACCATGAACAAGGCCACTTATAAAAGATTTCACTAAAAACACTGGTATGAAATACACTATGTTTTTATCAGAGTTAATGGAGTCAGCTAATGGGCACTCGGAACAAAATAATCCAAGATAAGTATAAAACGGTATAGTACATGACAACCATAATATTGTATCGATAATAGTCGTCACCACTAATCTATGATATTTTTGAAACTCATGAGTTGATGCTCGCATAAAGTTCTGATTGGTGTTGATTTGTTTAGTTTTTGTACGTAAAAACACAATCATAATCACATTGAGCACAATGGATATAAACACAAGAATCCCATGGAATAAAAAGAACGTCCAAGAGAAAAATGTAAAAAATGACTTCACATGATCTATGTTATTCCAACCAATTTGTGGCAGAAATCCAATTATGAATGAAAAATTCCACAATAAAACCATAAAAGTTATGATGTTCTTTTTATCCATGTGCATAAGATATTTAAAGGGCTGAGATAGTTTGATACTGCAGTCTATATTGAGAGATAACAAGGATAATCCAGAGGCCAGTAGAGCTGTGAAAAATAAACTCTCAGGTAGGAAGAAATTCATCATCAAGATATCAACATTGAAAAACATAATCATTTTAAATCCTCCGTACACTCCTAACAAAACATCAGCCACACACAAACTCCTCACAAACACTAGCGTGGGACTTTCACCACCACTCGCAAACTTAGATGCCAATAGTACTATAAGATTTAGTATAGTGGTACCTGTTGCCAGAGTTAGTATGATACCTATTTCAATGGTAGATAGATGATGATGAATGGATATAGATGATGATGTATTCGGTGTGCTGGTATCAAAGACATTCAGTGATAAGTTACATGATACATTGTTTTTACATGTCATTTCTTATAAATCATTCCTACCCTTTATATACATATATACAGCAATTCTCCTATGTATTTCTTTTCCTTTTTTTCGTGTTGTCCAGTCAAAATTGTAAGCATAGATATAAATTATTAATCACATTTTGTTACTGTTTTATTTGATCAATTCCAGAAAGACAAATTTATCTTCTTGCACTAAATTTCATCTAGGGCAGCTCATAAATTTGGAACCATCTCCACATTTTTGGTCACAGGACAGGAAACACTTTGAAATCTTTACACTCATTCATTATATATAATTTCAATATAATGATACACTCCCTTTAGAATCATATTAATACCTTGGTATAATGTCCACTAAGTAAATTCAACTTGACTATTTGATTAATTTCATAAACTGCTAATCCAGGCATTTAAGCTAAAAGTCCAACTCATCAACTTAAAAACTCTTAACGTTCATTAGTAAGGAAAATTTTGTAGCCTTGTTGTGATATGACTCTAGTACAATTAAATGATAATTAATAGCAACCAATGGCTACCGAATTAATTTATCAAATATGTTGTTTTTAAAAATGATTTATTGATTATACCAGATGTACATTTATCATTCATGATTCCTGACCTCATATTACTCCAAATAGGTAATAGGTAAAACCTAATATATTTATTTGAATAGATTTCAAGTTGTGACTGCCTCTACATGACTATTATTTTATTTACTCCCAATTATTATTTGTTCTCAAGTTTAGTGAAAATTAGTGATGCCTCAAATGATTATGTTAACATTAAATTTTCTATTTGTGACTCAAATTATGTTTTTAAGTTCAATATACTGTAGAAACAGACACTCAAATTACTTTATATCTGACAGTATTTTATCATGTTTTCTTTTAGTTTCCTTTCACACTAGAAAAAATTTAATTTTGACAAATCTTTTTATATTTGGCAGTATTTAATCATGTTCTTTTTTCGCTAGATAATCAAAACTTGACACAAATTATTTTATATTTGGCAGTATTTTATCATGTTTTTGTTTCACTAGACAAAATCATAACTTAACTCAAATTATTTTATATTTGACAGTATTTTATCATGTTCGTGTTTCACTAGACAAAATCCAAAACTTGACACGATTTTTTTTATATTTGACAGTAATTTATCATGTTTTTGCTTCATTAGACAAAATCAAAACTTGACAATATATAATACGATATTGTTCTTTGCTGTTTGTTATCACTCTGCAATTTCCTTGATATACAGGACATTCACTTCATGTTATTCCTGTTCACAAGTTTTTATATTTATTTTCAGGCTTCTTTGGCACAAGTCAGATCTTTGTAGAAGGAAAATACTATGTTTATGACATTGTTTCAAAACACACAACATTGAAGTGTCGCCTTTTTTCTCTTTAAAGCAATCCTAATGTTTGAAAATTTCTTTTGTTCTTTTTCTTTTCTTCATACAATATTTTGATTGTTGTAAATATTCTGTTGTTTTCTAAGAGGCTACATCCTGAAAGAAAGAAATATTTATGGAACATAATGGAAGCAATTAAAAATGTTTATTAAGCCTCTCTGAACTCAATCACTCAAATATAGGTTTTACCCTATTTAACTCGAAATTTTATAGATGTAATCAAAATCTTAACTACATACATGTATTACAAAGATAGCTTGCCAGGCAATTTATTTTATGCCTAAGACTACATGATATTTTCTAATGGGGGTTAGTTCATGCGCGCATGGACTAACCTTAGTGCCGATTTTTCAATTCGATTTTTCAGTAACCTTTTGTCAGCTAATGGGGCAATTATTTATTTGGAGTTATTTGTGTTTTGTAGGCCGATATTTCATTCCATGTCGGCTATGATCTCTTGTTTGTTTGTGTCTTATCGTAAATAATAAAAAAATTATCAACCATGAATGGTTGTCATGAACAGCTTATGACGTCATCAGCAAATAACGTCATAATTCTTGAGCAAAGCGCTGTTTTCAAGATTTAGAAAGCCAAATTAATTATTTTCTTTAGGGTACTGAAATAGTTTTAAAAAAAGTTTCAAGCATTTGATCCTTATTTTTTAAAATCGTCCAGCGACGGTATTATAAAAACAATGTGATACTTCGACAGGTCAATATACGTTAATATGTAATTTATGGTCAAAATGTATAAACTTAAAGGGACCTTCCACTTTTTTTGTAGTTCGAAAAATTTTTTTATTCAAATTTGTGAAAACTATAAACCAAAATCTATAGAAATATATCCCATAACGTATCTGAAAGTTTTAACTAATAAATCTAGCCGTTGTTTTTTTAATGCCAAAACTTTACTTAAGCTTTTACAGTTCTTTATGGTTTTTGCATACTGTAGGAATTTGAACTAAATATAACAAGCCATTTTTAGCACATCACCAAAACTTGGTCAAACTGGTTAATTAACAATTAGTACTCTCAGTTTTTAATGAAACCTTTTAAAACAAATTCAGTTTGATCAAGTAGATACATAGGTATAAATAGCATACTTTAGAAATATTTTCAGGTATAATTTACAATGTTTTTGATAATAAGAATGTTTTACAAACAAAAACCAAAATGCCCCTTTAAATATAAACAAAGTAATATCTCATCATCAACTTCTAAATTTAATGAAACATATTAATGTGCGTGAATATAGCCATCTCCCTATCTGTCTTTTGGACTGTCTATCTTGTTTTTGAAAACGTCTTCAATTATTGTAGACACGATAAAGAGCTGGTTTCTTGATGGATTTTGACAAAATTGGGTGTCAGTGCTTGTTACCACCTAAAGATGGGCCCTATTGGAAATCAGACAAATCGGAAAATATTTACTATGAGTTATTGCCCTTGTTCTTGAAAACGTGTTCAATTTTTAATTGTTGTGACAATAGAGAGCTGGTTTTTTGATGAAATTTTGTGTCAATGCTTGTTATCACCTAAGGATGTCTCCTATTAAAGATAAGAAAAATTGACAAAATATTTGATATCATATTCGATGTTTTGATACAATTTGGTGTCAGTGTTTGTTATCAAACCCTATTTATAATCAGACGAATTGAAAAATATTTGATATAAGTTATTCTTGAAAACTCGTTCAATTTTAAACTTGTCAAAAGTCTAGAAGTCACAATTCTTGACAATTTTATACAAAATGTGGTGAAATTGTTAAAGATTTCCCAATGAAGTACCCTATATATATTAAAATAATAACCTAAAAAATATTAAAGATGAGTTCTTGCCCTTGTTCTTGAAATGTGTTCAAACTTTAGCTTGCTTATAAATCTCCAGAAGACAAGAAGAGAGAGAGCTAATGGCAGCAATTAACAAGCCTATTTGAAATCTAATAATTTGCTAGACCAAAGTGCCCAATCAATTGACAGACGGTATGGTAATAAATGTACATGTAATATGTAGGAAGTAATATGTGGGAAAGTTATTACAATATTCACCTGCAGAAACAGAATTACATAATAAAAAGAGATTACAGTAAGAGGTTAATGTAATACATTATTTAATCGGTCAGTAGAATTACTACACCTTGTGATTATAAATAGTGTCTGTCTCACAGTCAATATTTATTGTTCACATAAATGCAATTTGTAAGCCCACATGATAATGTGGATTTGGACAAAAACTGGAATTGTTTAATTATTAACCAAGATTAAACTGTTGATGTTTGTAATATTTGTAAATATTAAGTTATTGCCCTTGATTTTCGAAACAGGCTTAATTTTTATACGTCCACATGAAATGGATAAACCTTTTAAAAATAACAAAATTGAGAACTAGTTTATATGAATCATTGAACTCAATCTTGAAATTTCATTCACTTTTTACCTTGTAAACAAACATTTTGACAACATTGTAATATTATTAAATATCACCTCAAAAAGTTAAAAAGAAGTGTATGTCTGAAGGTTGAATATTTCATACTAGTGATTGTTACTGTACTGCTAAATATTTTTATTTAAAATCAAAGCTGCTGCCAGTGGGCGTATATTACCTTGCCTGGCAAGCTATCTTTTAACTTGTCAACATTCCAGTAGGCATCAAATAAGGTTGATTTTTTTTGTAATTAACCAAGTTACTCGTTTTCAAAATGCTCTCAAGTGTTAACTTGTAAATACTGTAATATATAAACAATTTAGAATAAATTCTGGATTTCTGTTAAAATTAACCAAGAATCTTATTGGAAAGCTAAAAATTGAAAATATGGAATTTGTTAACATTTTAGAAGGCTCTGTTATGACACTTTGCTTGAGATAGAATATTTTATAGTTAAAATGCCGTTTCTTACATGTAAACTACACTGAAATGACAGGTTCCCCATTGGTTTGACCAATCATACCTTAGTCTCAGAGATGAGAATTTTTTAGCTAAACTAAGCATAATCAATAATAGTGTTCACAGCTCACAATCAAAATTTTAGCATTCAAATCTATGTGTGTAGAAAAGTATTCGTGTTTGAATGTTAAAAATTCCTAGTTTGAGATAATTTTGAAATTTGTAAATATCTTTGCTTTCGATGTCCTTTTCACTGTTAATAAATATTAAAATGTAAATTTCTTTCATGTTGTAAGTATCTTAAAAGTATTGTGGAATTTCTTATCACATGATGATAATAATTAACTGTAACAACCATCATTTCATGCCTAGATTGTAATTAATTATATATGTTGTGTTAATTGAGATCATTTATTTAACACAGAGGCAAGTTAATGATGTCATTAATTAGGGTAATTAAAAAAAATCACTTTTTGATATATCAATCTAAAATGTGAAGCAGATTTTATGGTCTTCAATGTCAGTCGTTCCACAATTGTAAATAAACATTCAGGAATAATTAAATCACTCTGCTCTGCCCCTTAACGGATTACTTTTATCATTGAGTTTGATTGACGTGACCACTACACGGTGACGATATCGTTCCTTCGAACGTCAACAGAGCCGAAATAGATACCTCACTGAATGATAAAGGTATTTTTTAAATTCACTCAAATATGCGC